TTGGTGAAATCCAATATACCCATTTGCAATAAAATCCAGCGGATTTTTGAGCGCCCGCTCAAAACGCCACCTTTCATTGACCTGGCCCATCGCTTATCAGACCTTCCTAGGTTTCACGCCATTTTCTTCCTTGATTTTTGTGTCTCTCCATTTTCAAGGCTAGGTCTGATGAGGGAGAATGTGGGATGCATCGCGGGTTCAAATGGTGATTTGGCCACTCCAATATCCCTTGGGTCATTTGGACGTTTTTGCTTGACACCGTGGTTCTCCACGCTGTTGGAGGCTTTCCAGCAGCTTTTCACACATGGATATTTTGGCCTTCAAATGGCTTTGTTTTCAGCTAGGGGCTAAGATTTTTTACTATATATTTTTTGGTCTGCTACTTGGATGATATTCATGACCCATTATACTGGTGGTTTTATTACCCCTAGTTACATGGGCTAACATCATCAAGTGATTGGCTAGTTTGGTTCGAATATTCAGTTTCGTTATGGGTCATTTATTTAGACCTCTTTCCCCCCGGTTCCATCCGGCTCCCCATTCGAGTAATGGGCTACTTTCTTTTGGCTGCTTCACCAATGTTGGGCCTAAGAAATGGGCTTGGGATGCCTAGGACTTTTGCTCCCAAGTAACCGGAACCTACACTTCGTGGTCCATCAAATGAGGGCGCATGACCAATTTATTACAATCCATACCAAAAACACCACTAGCAAGCCCAGGGTATTGGAGTGGCTTGGGGTCCCCACTTAAGTTGTGGCGTAGATTAGGTGCGGACCTGATAAATTCCCTCTTTTTGTTACTACCCTAGCGCGGTGGCGTAGTCGTTGGCGTTGGATTGTGTGGAACAGTGCATTGACTGACCTTTCGCATGCAAATCGGGTTTTCTTCTTTGGTGTTTTTAAAGCATCGCATTGGCGAAGAATTTATTTGGGCCGCAAAACGTGAAGATTTTGGGCCCTCAACATTAGCCCCTTGATTATTGGGCCAAAATGTGTATTGAAATGGTCCGATATAATCCACTTGTTCAGCCACAAAATAAATTACGTGGACTGGCATGGCAGGGTTTAGGGCAAACTGCAAGGATAAGGTTTAGAGTCTCTGAAATTACAGCAGTCTTTTCGGGAGGTTGGAGGGGTCACAATGGTCCCGCTTTAAAACCCAATCCTTCTTAAAAAACCGAGGGTGTCATTGAAGAAAACATTTCCTAGACACTGTAATTTGGCTAGCTTACTGAGTTACAAGAGTTGACATTAGTTTGTGGGACTTGATATAGAGAAAATGCTTGGTGGATTAGATCATGATAAACTACTTAGCCTCGCATGATTTATTTGCTTGCGTGACTAGAAGGCTTGAGGCATGTTTGTTGGTTTGCAAGAGTTGCATTGACTTGTGTATTAATATTGTTATTGTATGCTTGATTTTGGATTGCATGGATGTGCTTGGATGCTATATTGGGTATTTTGGCTGATGCTTAGCATTTGGTATGTATGCTGATTTTGGCTTGATACTTGGATTGGCGTGTGTGCTTGATTTTGGTTGATGATTGGGATGCTGGTTTTGGCTAAGGTAGCATGGTAAATGACTTCTTGGGACAATTAGCATGTGGCTGTCATGGACAGTTCAGTACGACCGTGATTAGTGGAAGTGGGGATCCCAATCCTTAGGAGTTGCGGATGCAAAAAGCTTGGGATCATCCATTGTGTTTGAGTTACAGCACCACCTCCAACACTGTGCATTAGCGGGACAAAACTTCAAGACGGTGATATCGTGCGACATGAGTGCTTAGATATGGGGCAGAATGCTGGAAATAGGCAGTTCTGTGAAAGCATGTTGAATAGGGCATGGCTGGAAAGGATTTCTCTGAACATATACCACGTGCCTGGCATCACGGCATTTTTGAATAGGGCAGTGTTGCATGGAATGTTGCACCTGGGCGCATGTGCTGACGGATTTGGCATATAAACAAGTGCCGGAGATTTGGACCTAGGATAGGTGTTGGGAAACGGTTTTTTGTTTGGCTGGACAAATAGGTGCTGGAAAAATGGACTTGGGCTTGGCATGATTAGCTTGGACTGGATAGCGACTGGTTGATTGAATCAAGCTTAGCTGACTCTGGCATGACGGGCCTTACACTCCCTGCGTATAGTCATGAATATGTGTGGTTTGGACAACACGATACCCCTTTGGTGTAATGAGACACATTTTGGCAGGTAGATGACTTCTGCTAGTGCTTCCAGCAACTAGAACGCCAAGTTCTAACCGTGCCATTTTTCTGATACTGTCTTGCTTGAAAGCTTGATCTGTGATATTGTTTGGTTTTGCTGGAACTGATGCCGTCTAAGTGAAATGCTTGAGTTGCAGTGGTTTTGGCGTGGTGGATTCACAAATGCTTGGTATTTGGATGGGGTGGAAGAAGAGATACGATTTGGAGGGAGCATAAGAGAGCTGGGCACGTTGTCCATCCTGCTTGGCTGGCCTTCATGATGGGCCAAAATTTTGTGTGCCCCTTCCCTGTGGAATTTTTTATTATTTGCCAGTGGCTACCCCCTTTCCTGCAGTGTGCATGGCAGGCTTTATTGGATGAGTGCTCGCAGTCCTCCTTTCTATTCTTCAAGACCCCACCCCTGGGTATGTGCTCAATACATAAGCTGATTTCGAAGCCGAGTCAGAAAACTTCTTGACAATAGTTGTTCCTCTGCTCGCGGTAGCTATACAATTCAACGTTTCAGAATTTTTTTGAATTTGTCTGAGACCTCACAGCTGTTTGCACTTCTGCTTCTCCTGGTTGGTGAGTTTTTGCAGATTTTTCTTCTGCATGTGTCTTTAACCTTTTGATTCTCGGAATGATGCACTTGCTTCATAACAAAAATTTGTTGAAATTATGTTTGTTTTAAACACAAATCCACATTGGGATCAATCCCACCCCATTCTGGTGCTCTCTCCCCCTCCATTTTTCTAAATCATGTTCATGAGTTGATGTTGATGGCTTTGTTGCTGCTTTTCTTCTATGGCTTGAATGCTTGAGTTTTCCGCGTGTATTTCCCAGAATTTGGTGGAACTAGCAATTGGAATTCTAAGGTTGAGCTTTTTTGCTCTAGATTCAGCTTGGTGACAAACAGATTTAAAGCTCACTTGGGATGCTGCCCAAGTGTTTGGCTCAAACTATCTCCAATGCTTAGCTGGCTGCTTTTTGAACTTTTGAAATGTTTCTTTTCGAATCGGAGTTGGAGCTTTTGACACATAACATGGACTTCTCAATGGTTATGTTGAATTGGTCTGCATCACTTGAAGGAAAAAAGAATGAATTTTCGGTGGAATTTCAAAGTAAGGGTAAGGTGCTGGAGCTGTACAGTTTCTGCTGCATGGGGCTTTTAGAAATCTGTTTGACAGCTTCCCTAGCTCGAAATGCAACGAAATTTTGGGAAAATGAGCTTGATATGTCTAGTTCTGATCTGGAAAGTCTGGGATTTTTGGTTGTTTTGTAAGCTTGATTTATAGTGATTTTCTAAAGGTGGGATATTCTAGCTAGGATGGTTGGAAAGCTTGTGTATAAGTTTTGCTTGGCATGTTGCTTTTGCTTGGGAATTTTAGCATGTCTTTCTGTTGGCATTGAGTGCCGATCTGAGTATTGCTAAAGCATGTTCTTGAGCAATATTGTCGTGAGAGCATGAAGTGGAAATGGTGTTTGTAAGAGCATGAATTCTTCAATTTGCTTTGAGATGCCCGAATTGCTTGAAATGCTTGAATGAAATGAAATTTCTTGGCATGTGAATTGGTATCACACCTTGTGAATTTTGTCAAATGCTTGATAGATGAGTTTGCTTGCACTTTGAGAAATTATGCTTCCGGCACATCCGTTTGTGTGTATGAGTACCTTTCCGGCGTCTGATTTTGGCTAACATATTCTCTTGTTTTAAAAGCTCGAAAGCATGATAAAGCATGAGAAGTCTAATTTGATAGCATGAAAGTAAGTCTTGGTCTCTTGCAACTTGTCTTGGGAAAACATTATGCTTTAACGATTCTACTTCCGGCACCCCTTTCTGTTTACAAGTTCCCTTCAGCACCTGATCTGACCAACGTACTCCCTTATTTATTTTTCAGGCTTGATTGAGAGATTCCACAGCATGAGAAATGCCATCTTCTACTAATTTGCAAGGAATTTGGTAGCATGAAGGTGAGTTTTGGTTGCTTGCATCTTGACTTGCGATATGAAGGCTTTTGGAAGATTTGAAACTAGCAGAATGTTTGAAATTAGGCATGTACTGGAAGGATGTTTGAAATAGGGTAGGTGATAAAAATTCTTTGCTTATGGAGTAGGTGCTAGAAGAAGTAACTTGGCTTGTTTCAAAAAGGAGAAATAGAAAACTGTTTCTCACCATAATGCAAGATTATCTAGGCTTGTTGTAATCAAAGAAATGATTATACTGTGTAGCAAAAAAGGTAGATGGGTTTGCTTGTTTGAATGGCATGGTGTACTTTCCTTGAATTTGCTTGGCATGAAGCCCTCAAGTCAGCTTGTTGAGGTCAGCAATTGGGTGCAGAGTTGGGTTATATCTCTTTGGCTTACTTAGGGTCCGAGAAACAAAGTAGAGAAGCTCTTTGGAAGAAGTAGACTGAAGATGAGAAGAAGAGGCTAGCGAGTTGCTGGAAGAGATTCATACAGCTTGTTTTCCTCCAGATAAGTAACAATAGTTTTGCTTTCTCTCCAAGAGGAAAACTGAAATTTACAACAGCTTCAGATTCTTGTCTCTCTCTTTTGCTTGGCATGAAGCCCCCAAGTCATTTGGAGTTTGCATGTGCTATTTGCTATGATGGATTCTCTTAAGCCCCCATAAAGCCTTTCGCAAGATGTTTTGTCTAAAAAGCTTTAAATTTTTCTGTAGGTGCAATTGCATGAATAAAGCTTGTGATTTTTCAGGAGTTGTCGTATAGCCTGAGAAGAAGTTCTTGCAAGTATTAGTTGCCGAAGTATCCCATCTTCAAAAGACCAATTCTTAAGTATGCCTGAAAATAATGATGGTGCCAAAGTCTGCGTAGAAAAACATGGGGACAATTGCAATGATGGGTCAGCTGGTTGCATAAATAATGAGATCAACAATGGTGATGAAGGAGATGTAACGTGAAATAGAGATACGATATTCTTTTAGCACCACTACCCTTCTCCCGGCACCTACTACCCCTTCTTCCAGCACCAACCTCCCTTCTTTCTTGGTGCATTTGAGGTCGTCTTTTGAGGTGATTGACAAGGTATGCCCTTTCCTCTTTGCAATTTCTTGAATCTATCGAGGGCTTGTGTGGCTCTTCATGCCCATGGGCTTTGCTCGTTCACGGAATCTTAGGTCCCTTCTTTTTAACTCTGTAGGAATAGATATAGAATGATATCTTGGCCTATGCTTGTTTTTCGCATGCTTGAATAAATTTGGACTTTTCTCCATGTTGTGGAAATAGAAATTGATAGAGTGCAGCTCAGCATGCTTGAATCCTTTTGCATTTTGAGGAAGAATTTGCTTGTCATGGGAATTGCTTGAAAATTCGCTTGCCATGGATAAATTGTATGCTGCTTAGGTATTTGCTTAAGTGTTTCCTTTGGCCTGAGCTTGACTTGCCCTGCTTGGCGTATATTTTGCGTGTGCTGCGTTCTTGACCCGCTTTTTTGTGGTTGAACTATATGCATCACGAGCGCATGCTTGTAATCGTATGATTAATGCATAGGATTAGAGGCTATTGAAAGCTTTGAGAAAAGCACCATTGGTTTCTTTTCTTTTTTTCTTTTTTCTTTATGAGCTTAGAATTTGGTCATGGATAACTGTTTATTTTTTTTGGCTTTATAGGGATAGACATAAACATGTGTATGATGGGTCTGCAAGGATTTGTAACTCGTAGGTATTTCGTTTTTGTTGAAAAAGGTTACTATGAGGTAAATAGTGCTCAGTGTGTAGCACTTGCTTTGTGAAAAAGGGTCTGCTAGAATGATTGATTGAGCATGGAATGGGAAATTTGCTCATCATGAGCTCGAGTAATAGATTGCATGATGCTTAAATATATTTTTTTTTTTTTTTTTTGCATTTCGCTTGGCATGAGATAGCTTGCTTTGCTTGGCTTGTAAAGTTCATAGGGCTTGCATGCTAGTGTGGAGATTGCTTGGCTTTAACACAGAGAACTAGCTTTATGCTTTGCCGTTTTTTCAGTGTATTCTTTGTTGGCAATTCTTGCAGGGATTCATCGCTTGTCAAGACCTGCCATGGCATTCACTAACCCGTTGTCAATTATTAGTGGCCACCTTTATTCAACGGATGATAAATTGAAGAGGGGAAGCCCCCCTCCATTTCTCAAGAATGCTTGTGAAGATGTTGTAGTAGGCGAAGAGCCAATGTCGTCTTGCTGCGTTGGTATCATTATGGTTCGGGAAATTCCTCCTCTGTGACTTTTCCCAAGATTTCTGCATGCGCAGGTGTTCCCCTTGGCTTTAGCAATAGCGCATGGCGGCATGATAACCATAGCCCCTATGTTCTTGGGACATCCGATGCAGGGGTAGACAATGCCCTGGCTCTTCTAGCAGTGCTGCCTCATACTCATCATTTTCTCGGAACATCCAACATAGCTGCCGGCACTGCCCTGCACCTTCCAGCAGTGCTGCCTCCTACTCATTCTCTTCTCAGAACATGCGACATAGCTGCCGGCGCTGCCTTGCATCTTCCAGCGTGCTGCCTTCTACTTCTCCTCTTCTCGGAACATCCAACATAGCTGCCGGCACTGCCCTGCACCTTCCAGCAGTGCTGCCTCCTACTCATCCTCTTCTCAGAACATGCGACATAGCTGCCGGCGCTGCCTTGCATCTTCCAGCGTGCTGCTTTCTACTTCTCCTCTTCTCGGAACATCCAACATAGCTGTCGGCACTGCCCTGCACCTTCCGGCAGTGCTGCCTCCTACTCATCCTCTTCTCAGAACATGCGACATAGCTGCCGGCGCTGCCTTGCATCTTCCAGCGTGCTGCCTCCTTTTATTTCGCAGGTTGTTTTCTTTGGCTTGGGGTCAGTTGGCTCGGTGCACAGCTTCCATCTTTCTTGATACCATAGGATGTACTAATCTCCAGCATGTGTAACCTTGTTTTTGCAATGGCTGTGTACTTTTCAGATAATCTAACGACTATGTCATTATGACTTTGTAATGTACTACTGAACCACTGGAACTTGCATTAATTTCTGAATGCTTGAGGCATGTTGTAATTCGTACATCTTATATATATATTGCTTGGTTGGGAGAACTTGCTCTTGTGAACTTCTTGAAATTTTCTGACGAGTTGGCAAGCCTTAAAAACAAGGTATACGCTGCCCAAAATTTTGACAGGACCTTTAAGCTAAATCTTCGATGCATTGCTCTTTAAAACTTTTGCAAGGCTTGTCTACTCATTTGGCCTAAAATGCACCCTCTTTCCGTGCCTTAAAAAGGGGTCAGGCCGCTGTATGCATGATTTCCACGAAGGCTCCTGTAAGAATTGCCTGATGTTGTGAAGTTTTTTGAGCATTCCGATTGGGATGGTTACTGCAAAGTCAACGGTTTTCGTTATTCCAGCGCCTCAAAATACACTTTTACTGCTTGTTTCTTTGTAATAGCTTGACTTTGCATACCCCCACATCATTTTGCTTAGGCTTGATGCTTATTTCAGTTCGGGACCCCATCTAAGTGGCTTTGCTTGGCATGGTTACTGCTGAGAGGCCTAGCTTTTTAAAAGGAAGTTTGCTTGTCTATTTTCTTTTTTCTTTTCAAAGGACATGTTTTGCAAAACAGAAGAAGATAAAAGTAAGGAAAGAGAGGTTTTTTTGGTTTTTTTTTTTTTTTTTTTTTTTTTTTTTTTCCAATACTCCATTCTCATTGCAAATATCATTTTACACCTTGGCATGCAATAATGGTGGTGCATTCTACCAAAGTTGTGAAAGCATATGGTGAAAACACAAAAGGAGTTCATTTTTTAAATAAATTTGAAAAGCCAAAAACAAAATGATAGGTGCAAAAGTAATTCAGCAATAATAAGACCTTAAGCCACTTTGCATTGATGAATACTCCAATCAAATCAAGCCCCCCAAATATGAAAGGGCCCAAGGTTGTGCATGACTTGCAATAGCATGAAAGCTTGTGGCTTAGGTTGGCATGTATTTGGCATGTGTTGTACTAGGATGCGATGCTCTGTAGAGATATTTAACAGAGCCACAGTTGCTGCTTTGCTTGCCTGCAGCTCATAACCCAACTAATCAAAGAGTGATTTGCAGCTCCTAACCCATTGTACTTTCTTCAACCTCTGTGAAGTTATGAGAGGTTACAACAGCTGCTTCTTGATAATCTTAATGACCAAATGAAGCCTCCGAGTGGCTTTCTTCCAACATGTCCAATGTGAATACTTCGCTGCTGGAACCATTCTCTCATCAATTAGCAAGTAGCCATGGGGTGTTATAGCTTGCAGATTTTGAATATTTGCTCAAGTTGGCCTTCTTCATATTTCCACAAGGTTCCCACATAGCCTCCGGTGGCTTTGGGTCATTCTTCCACAGGTGGCACAATACGTCGTCGTCGAGCAAGTCATCAAAGCACGTAATGACAGTAGCCATCTACTTTCCCCTTCGTTTTGGCAAGGGGTCCTTGTCAATAGCTTGCCTCTTAGAGTTTTGTCATGTATCTCGGCGTGTAAGATCTTCCTTAGAGTATGGCAAGCAGTGGTGGATGTTGCAGGTGAAGAATGGATGAATATAGGAAAATACGCTTCCAGCACCCCTTTTCTTGAAAGCTTGACATCGCTTCAAAAATTCTGATTGCTTGGTAAAATAAACTTCATCTTGACAGCATTTAGGTTCTTCCAGCAGTATCATAACACTACCTTCGCAATATTTTCCTTTCATTTGCCATGAATTGAGATGTTTTCCTTCTTGAGTAAAGCATAGTGCTTGGATTTCTTGACTAAGGCTCGGGGCTTGATGATGCTTGATTATGGAATTGTGGCAATTGAGACATCCCGATAGCCTTTTGGTTTTGACTCCTAAACTTGGTCATTGGAATAATCAAGGCTTAGAAAGTGCTTGAGGCGTTGGAGCATATCAGTTATGGCAACTTAGGTATTGTTTGTTGCAGCTGTTGTGAACATGTTTTAGGAACCAAAAGCTTGGACTTGGCTATTGGAGCTTGAGCTTTGTATGTGGTCACTGCAGCAAATGTGTTGGGTTACAAAAACAAGTGATGGCGAACTTGGAGGTCATAGTAACATAATTGGGATTTTAAGGAGATTTTTGGTCTGGGAATAGTGGTTTTGGTAATAATGGATTTTTAAGCTCATTTGGGGTTTTGGAATCGCTGCTGTGGTGATTGCAATGAATTCCTTCCTCAGCCCCCAAGTGCACCATAATCATCAGAAAAGGATTTGATGGGCATAGGCTACAAAAACTCTTGCAACATGGCCTTCTTAGTATTTGTTTGGGTCATTGCATGGCATGATGAACTTGGGATATCCCTTTGTTGCAACGGTGACAGTTTGGCATGATTCGGTGGTAGCATGTGCTTCTGGCAGCGGCTCTTCCAGCAGTGGTGTTTGGATTTTGACTAGCTCTGTTCTTCTTCCACTCTTCCAACGGCTCTTTCAGTGGTGCTTGAACTTCTATGACTGGAAGTATAGAGAGAGATTTGTCTTAAGGAATGGATGATAATGGCAGTGTGTTGAGATGTTGGGTAGGAAACATGAGAGCATTTGTTTTCTTGCTTGTTGTTTGGAGGCTTGGGTCCCTTGCACATGACCGATATAATGCTGCATGATCAAAGCATAAAAATAATATAAGCCTTGTAGCTTGCAAATGACTAACATAATTGACATAAGCATGCTGAGCAGGTATGATTTTAGTACTGAGCATGCATAGTTTGCATCTACATTGCAATATGTAACTTGGATTGATTAACACAAAGGTGGATCGATACGAAATGATAAGAAGTAAGGTAAGTGAATAGTGCGTGGAATAAGGCCCTGAGAAATTTTGCTAGAGATGCAAAATTGAAAGGTGGTTTAATACATAAAGAAAATGATGCAAGCTGGTGCACCATATGAATAACAACTAATCAATCAATCTTTTTTTTTGGACTTGAATGCACATGCTTTTATCTAAGCTTGAGTTTGTTCAATGAAACATAAATTTTATGGATATCTTAAAACAACAAACAAATATATATGCTATATTGAGATCAACAAGGCATGATAATAAAAATCTTATCTTGGTGAAGCCATTCGCAGAGATGAGGCTGAGAGCATTGAGCAAGTGTTCCTTCTCCCTCTTTCACCGTGTTTTCACAACTCTAGAGAGGTGAGGGCTGCTATGAAGGTGATTTACGGCGATGGCCAGACTTGCTGATGATGTATCATGGCGGAGAGGTGAACGGCAGAGCTAGCCTCAACAATTAACGACGGTGGTCAGCGGCTTGCACGTTGGTTGAAGCCCCCAGTCCTCTTACAAGATCTTGTTTTGCTTGAGAATGGAGATCTAAGACACAAGCAAAAGGAGCATTTGAGTAATCTATATTATGTTTGTTCTACAAAGTAGATAGCCAACAAAAGGAAAAAGAAAAAGAAAGAGGAAATGCTCTTATCTCTTTATTTCCTCCGGTTTATTGCTTCTGGTCTTCTTCTTTGGAGGCATTGGTGCAGATAGTGGCTTAATCCCCAGTAGAGTCGCCAATTTATGTAGGGGCTTTTTTTCTTCCGGCAGCTACTACGGGCCTGACTGCCGTAAAGGGCAAAATGGAAGAAATTGCCCCTTGAGCCTGAGTTTGAAAATTAAGCCCCAAAATACCTCGAAAAGGCAGTAGAGCCTTAGGAAGTATTTTGGTTATCTTCACCAACCAAAATAATGGCAGCTTACAGGTAATTTCTTCATGCTTACAGATAAACTTTTGAGTTTGGCATGAGGGGCTTGTGGCATGGGAGCAAAATTAGCATGAGTTGAGCACCAAAAAGGAAATATGGCTTCCTAGGGAGAAAAGGGAGTGTTTAAGGTGAGGAAGAAGAGGTTTTCAAGCATATGTGGCTAGGAAGAGAAAAGGGAAGAACTATGTTCTTCTGGCAGCTTGTCAGAAGAAGAAAATGGAGGAAGATGAACAGTGCACGAAATTGCTGGTTTTTGCAAGTATGAGAGGAAGCTTGCTCTCTAGTTGTGGATGATTTTTGTTGGGTAGAAGAGGCCCTAATTTATAGCCGCTGGAAGCTGATATTTTCCAAGAAAACCTAATGGCTTCTACCCATTTTGGCTAAGCTTTTCCTTCCTTTCTCCCTTCATCTCTTCAATCATCCCTTTTTGGTGAAATCCACTCTACCCATTTGCATAAAATCAGGGATTTTTGGGAGCTCAAAGCCCCCTTTCCTGCGGCTGTTTCAGACTTCTATTTTCAGCCATCTTTCTTCCTTCTTTTCTCTCCTTTTCCAAGGCTAGGTCTGATGAGGGAAGGAATGGGTATGCATGCTGGTTCAAATGGTGATCTGCGCTCCAATATCCCTTGGTCATTTGGAAGTTTTTGCTTGAAACTTGTTTCTCCCACGTGTTGGAGCTTTCCAGCAGCTTTCACACATGGATATTTTGGCTTTCAACGTGGCTTTTGTTTTCAGCTAGGTGCTGAAGATTTCATATATATTTTTTTGGGTTGCTTGGGCCTTCTATGACAATAAGTTGGTTTATCAAGTACATGGGCTAACTTCATCAAGTATTGGGCTAGTTTGGTTGAAGTGATGGGCTATATTGGTCGGAGTAATGGGCTACTTTCTCTTTTGTGCTCACCCACATGTTTGGGCCTAAGAAATGGGCTTGGGTTCCGAGGCTCCCAAGTAACCCGGAACCTCCACTTCTTGGTCCATCAATGGGCCTCATGACAATTTATTACCATCCATACCACAACCCACTCAAGCAAGCCCCGGGTATTTGAGTGGCTTGGGGCCCACTTAAGCTTGTGGCATGATTAGGTGCGGAATGATAATTCCTTGCTTAGCGTGGCGTGTCGTTTGGCGTGGCATGTGTGCAAGTGCATATGATGAACTTTCGCATGCCCAAATCGGGTTTCTTCTTGGTAAAGCATCGCATTGGGCCGAGAATTTATTTGGGCCGAACCGTGAATATTTTGGGCCTCAACATTAGCCCCCTTGATTATTGGGGCCATGAATGTGTATTGAAATGGTCCGAAATAGTATATCGATTTTCGGAGTAAAAGGTGTCACAATTCTGACGGTACAGGTGTCCAGATCGTGACCAACCCACCCACACACAGAAAAGAAGGATATAATTCGATTTAGGCAAAGATGAGAGAGAGCTGAGTGAGAAGTTTAGGGTTATGACGTATGAGTGAAGGGGTATGACTGATAAGGTATGAGTCCGAAGTGGTTTTAGTGAGAAGATCTGAGTGAGAAGATGTACAAGTGATAAGATTCAACATGTCTTCGTCTTCATCTCCCGCTCAAACAAAGAGGTGTCAGTATTGTGGAGCTGCAATGGTGCTTCGGGTTTCAAAATCAGATAAAAATCGAGGGAAGCCATTTTGGAAGTGTCTAACCTCCTATGTAAGTTCTCATTTCCAGAATATGTATGTGGGTGAAAAAAAAATCCTAGGTCTAACTCTGACAGAATTATTTTGCATATATAATGCCTGCAATTAGGGAGCCACCAGTTGCAATGGATTCGAATGGGTTGATGTAACCTCCGCTGAAGCAGATCAGCAAGCTGACACGTATGATGCTACAGTGCTTAATATGCTGAAGTCCATTAAGGACTTGGTATTAGTTTTATTAGTTGTATCAATTGTCATATTATTTGTTCTTTTAATGACCAATTAAGTGCACGGTTTCAAAGATTGTAAAAGTTCTCCCCCAAAACACATGTTGCACGCACCACCAATGACTTTTCAAACCCAATTTGTAATTTTTGTTCTTCAAATAGGTGGATTGGCATTGAGTTTAAATTATTGTTTGAAACAAAAGCATGTATTTGTCAGAAACCCAGTAAAAACTTTCCTAGACTTACTTTACAAAAATAAAGTCATACGAAGACGATAAAATGACAATACAGGGCCCATACGATGCAATAATAAGACAAAACCTTTTTTTTGAAGATTGCATAATTATTCAATGTATATAGATTGTTTATTGATTGTTTACTGCATGTAAATCGCATGATATTGAATGTTTATTAAAGGTTTATTAACTGCATGTATTTCGCATGTTATTACTCCGATATTGAGTGTATATTGAAGGTTTATTGATTGTTTACATGTTTCGTGAAGGTTTCATGATTGTTAACTGCATGTATTTCGCACGTTATTGAACCGATATTGAAGGTTTATTGAAAGTTGATTGAGTGTTTACTGCATGTATATTGCATGTTATTGCTCCAATATTGCATGTTTATTGGGGGCAAAAGTAGGACTCAAGTTAGACTCAAGTTAGAATTTCCTATTCAATACGACTTCCTTATGGTTGATGTAATTGGGGACTGATGTCTATTGCATGTCTATTGCATGTATATTTCATGTCTATTGCGTGTATATTGCTTGTCTGTTGCCGGCTTAAAGATTGGGATATGATATTTGGAATGGTGGCTTGGATAAATGATGACATATCACTTTGCAATGATGTAATACACTTAAAAAGCCATCAGTCCCTATGTGAATATGCATTCTTCAAATCCCAATTCACATATGCAGTCTTCAAATCCCAATTCAATGCAGTTTGGTTGAGGTTAGGTAAATGTCGTGAAGGAGTTAGCCAATATTACACCGATGTTTGTTTCATTACATCAAAAAAAACTTTACACTCCATATGCACATTCTATGTATGGGAATGGCATGTGTCTAACTTCAAAAACGCATCTGCCTATCCATTTAGATTGCCCACGTGCAATAGATTTACAGATCCATTTACTTTTCTCCTCACCAACCCTCAGCATCTCCATTTCAGATTCTTCATTTTTCTATGCTCTGCAACCAGCTCCATATACATTTCGCACAATATGAGAATAAACATAGCGTAATATCACACTAATCGAAATGAAAGCATGCATCCGCTATAATATTTGCCACTATTTTGGTTCTAATTGTTATTGTCCAGTAACTTAAATCTAAATTTTTGTACACAAATACATTAAGATTGAGAAAGACGAAGAAGAATTCAGGAGCAGAGGTGGAATTCGAAAAGGACCCATGGGTCTCTATTGTGTATTTACATGACTTTGAAATTGGACATTCCCAAAACCTATTTAATCATCATGTGCCTAAACCAAGTTCAACCGATATCATGGCATGTAAGCATCTCCCCGTGCAATTTCTGCAGCCAACTTCAACCGAAAAAATGGCATGTTCTGCGAGGTGCAAGTAGCTAAGGGAATCTCAGCACTCAACAGCTCAATGTACTTCAACACGAACATACCACAATTGCCTCTGAAGCAAAACAAGAACTCGATCAATTCAACTAATGACATTCTAACGTAATTGACAAATTAAAGTAATAAAATTAAATAAAAAGTTGTGCTCACTGATTAGCCTGTTGTGGAACATCCACACGATGTATTGGCCATGGACACCACCAATCTCGGGTGCACTCGTTCGCGTAAACACCTTCTTCATAAAAGTCGAGGGTGTGCAGAAGATTTGGAATCGTAATTGACAGGGGGCCGAGTTCTTCCTTTAAGCTCTGATCTGGAATGAGTGAAACCATTGAATCGTAGACTTTGATTTCACACTGAATCAGATCAATCTCTAAAGCCACCCAATTCTTATATTTTGGCAACATACAAGGTACATACACCTTATATGTGTTCTGCCAATCCAATCCACAAGCTGGAACCTTGCCATTTACAACGTTCACTAAACTGGTTCTAATTTTCCACCCAACTTGCTCTTTTTTCCTTTTATTATCCGCAAAGCAAGTATGGATGTGATTCTGTGAAATAGAAAACAATCAATGGTTAAACACCTCCAAAAAGCAAGTATGGATAATTTGTAATTATTAACTGCACTTGGTCAAGGCCTATGCCATACTGATGTAGCACAGCCCTGGGTGTGTTAGTTTAAACACTTAGAGCAATAAGACAGAACAGATAAGAAAAGCTGAAGGGAAGAAAAGGTAGAAGGCAGGCAGAAATCAGAGAGTTTAAAGGAATGTTTAATCAATATTCAAATCTGAATTGTAAAAAACTACATAGGGGTATTTATAGCAAACTAAAACCTAGAGACAATAGAATTAAAATCCCCAGGTAAAACAGAAATCCTATTCCTAATAAAATAGGAAACTTAGAAATCCTAATAGGATTTGGAAAACTAACTTAGAAATCCTACTAGGATTTGGAAAACTAAAGAATATAGGAAACTAACAAATCAATTAGGAAACTAAACAATTTAGGTCCTATGCATCCTGCATCACATACCATAAAAAATACATCGGTCGTTGTCCAGTCCGATATTTCTACTTCCTCCAACTGTTGTTGTCGCTTCCGAATGAGATACAAGCCCAAATCAATGTGCTGCACATGTTTTCCTTGTCAATCTCATAATCTATGCACATTCAAACAAATGCATAATCAATTAAACTTACATCTCCTTTCAGCCAACCGTCAGCTTTGACGAGGGAAGCGAAGAATTCAATCTCAGCTTCCACGTTGCCAAATTGCATCACCAAACTATGAATATAAAAAGTTTTAGAACACAACAATTAAAAATATATACACTCATGCCTTCTATCTCAAAAAACAAAGGACTTACTTTGGGTTATGGCGCCATTCCGAACAAAGTTTCAGCAATTTCACCATATCATCATGCGGAATCGCCTTCATTGGGTCTAACGTCCGAAGTCCGGTTGTCTTTGGCAAATTTTTTTGAACCACTTCACTAGCTTCAACGATCTTCCACATAGGAATAATCCTCTTCCTCTTCCGTAATTGGACCCCTCGTTCCACACCTTGACCTTCATCATTCAACCAAACGTTCAACTGAGATAACACAGCTGTAGGTTGATCCAAATCAATGTCCCCGAGGGTAACCTCAACCTTTGTCCCCTCCGTGCTCTCGCCAATGTCATCGCCAACCAACATAACTTCATCATCCTCTTCCTCACATTGGTTTCTTTGCACTTCCTTTTCCTCACTTCTCTGTCTTTTCACTTCCTTGCCCTTCCTTCTTTTTTTTTTGCTGATCCTCTCCCTCACTGCTTTTTCTTTGCAGTTCTTCCTCTCCCTCAATGCTCTTTCTTTGCGCTTCCTCTCCTTTGCTGCTTTTTATTTTTACTTGCTCTCCCTCACTTCTTTTCCTTTGAGCTTCCTCTACCTCCCTTGGTTTTCTTTGCACTTCACCCCCTTCAATCCCCTCCTCTTCCTTTTCCTCTCCCTCATTTCTCTTACTTGGCACTTCACCCCCTTCAATCCCCTCCTCTTCCTTTTCCTCTCCCTCATTTGTCTTACTTGCCCCTTCACCCCCTTCAATCCCCTCCTCTTCCTTTTCCTCTCCCTCATTTGTCTTACTTGCCCCTTCACCCCTTTCAATCCCCTCCTCTTCCTTGTCCTCTCCCTCATTTCTGTTATTTGGCCCTTCACCCCCTTCAATGTCCTCCTCTTCATTTTCCTCTCCTTCATTTCTATTACTTGGCCCTTCATCCCATTGCATGCCGTCCACTTCCTCATATCCCTTAAATAGATGTGACACGACACAACGATTCGTCCTCTCTTTCAGTAAAGCTATGTCCCTTCTCACTTCCTGCTCAAAATGAGGATCTAAACAGTGGTCCAAAATTTTTTCCATCCGTATAACCTTTAACTCAAGGACGTCCTTTTCCCGCTTTACTTGAAACAACTCGGACCTCAACAAGCTTACCGCCTTGTTCAACTCATCAAGGTCAGCACATGAAGAAGGAATTGACTCTGCCGAGACAACAGCAGGGCGACCCTGTGGCCAACTCCAATATGGTTGTCTCATTTCCTCTTCACTTGGACATAGCGCCCGCAACTGAACTGACTGTTTCAGAAAACAGACAAGAGTCATATGCAATAATTCTACTTCATAATTTCATTGAATCTTATAAATAGTTCCAAGGGCTGCAAACCAAACCTCTTTGCCCTGGAAAAAATAATTGTTCAACTTTCTCATCTCGGGAACAGACGTAGTAGTTCTCCATCGCAAAATACGCGGGAGAGCTGTCGGATCAACAACCTTGCAGTAATTCAGGTCCGCCATTCTAGGAATTAATTCATATACCCAAATCTACACAATTCACATGACACAAGTTATTATTTAAGTTTTAAAGTCAACAAAACATAACAACATGAACATTATTACCATGTACCTGGAAAGCATACGTGAAACCTTTAAAACTCCAGCCACCCCTTTGCACTTCACCATGGTTATCCTTCTTGCCCTTCTCATTTCTCCGGCTTGTTCCGGTTACCTTACATTTCCCCTTCCCTCTTCCCTCTTCATTTTCAAAGCTTTTCACATACTTTTTGGTGCAGAAAACAGACTGTCTTGGGTTTTGTCAAACGACACCGAACCCCATGGAAACCTGTTGAACGCATCCAAGTCCTCTACAAGGGTCAGGTAATTTAGATTGATGTTCAAATGTTTGTCCCTTCCCAAAACCACTAACTCAGCAAAGTAAACAAGAGCTAGCTTGTAGACGTCATCTTCCTCTGTGCACCTCACAAATGCTTCTTCTAAAGCATTACATGTAATTCCTTCGTCTATAAAATATCTTTTCTGAAGTCTAATTTCATCACTTTCTCCACTGGAAACTTCAGGCACTTCCCCAAAACGAAGCCTTGAGATCAAACAGAAATCCTGACGAGTGAACTGAGCAACGTCGCACCCTATTAAGAAACTCAGTCCATCCAAGTCTTTCACACCCTGCCCCGCTACTCTACGCAACACAACCCCATGCACAATCTGCCCGCTAAACTGAATCTTATCTATATTCAGAAGATGGCCAAAGCATGATGTCTTAAATTGTTCTAATTGTTCGGCACTCAACTTCGCTCGAATTACAGCTAGGGATGAATTTGCATGTGAGCAGTTGTTCACCCGTGAGGAATATGCCTCTGACTCTGGCCATACCAGCTCAACGTTGGATCCCATTTCCTGAAATACAAGATGAAATAACGTGAACACATATACTACCACGTATTTGCACAATCACATTGGTATTTACACAACTAGTCAACCAGCACATTACAAATTTTACAAAGTACATGCGCATAGGGATTACTGATCACAGGCTTTAACATCATCAAAGCAATATGACATATTTTGTGCAAATACCTGTTAATGCAATGATTCTGTGAATTACAAGCAATAGCATGTGTTTTATTTATGGATCCAAACTCCAATCAATGGTTGATGCATGAGTGAGTGTGAGTGCAATCTAGGCAAGTTCTGCACTTCACACACATGACAATTATTGTCATCTCATACACAACACAAAATAAATAAATAAATAAATAAGAAAAATGGTGGAAGGAAGCAAAGCAAAGCATCTGCTCTGCTATCTGCTCGCTAAGCCATTGCCACATCCTTCTTTCTTTCTAGCTTTTTCTTCAGTCAGCCATAATCGTCATAGATCAACCTTTTTTCAAATGCTTTGCACTTTTATTCATGAGTTTATTATTATCTGTTCTCATTTTTAACAGGCAAATTTAGTAACAACGGAAATAATATTTATTTCAAAAATTATATATATTCTAGCGCCAGAGAGATAATCTGCACTCTGCACTGCTTCAAATGTGGAAGGTTTTGAGGGCCTCCTCCAATTCAACACCATTACCTTATTCATATCATTATTGACATGTTATTGACTTTATTTTCATTCGTTTTTTAACATATACCCAAGCAAAAATTAACATGCAAGTGAAGCACAAAGAAGAGATGCCAAATCTAACAACATTCATGGTACAAATTGGGGAAAACGGTTACTCTAACCCTAAACTCAAATTCCATAAATTACTCACCAAATGCTGGTTATTGAACAATCGCAAGGTGTCTGTGTTGGGTCTTTGTGCGGCTTTGCTCCACAAATGGAACCTATCACTTCCAACGAATACGGCTTCTCTCCTTCCCCTTCCACTGCTTCGTCTTTTCACTGTTTCAGAATCCACGCCTTTGCTCCTTCCACTCAAAATAAATACTTTTTCACGGTTTAGATAGTGGAGTTGCGTTCAACCGTCGTTAACCTTTGCCTTCAACCGTCGTTGCCCGTTGCCTTCAACTGTTTCTCAGAGCTTAGCGGTTTCTCTGAGCTATGAGTTTGAGATCAATGGGTTTTTTCTGTTCAAACTTCGAACTTTTTTTTTTTTTTTTTTTTGTTTGTTGACTAGCTTCATTGCTGGATATTAAATTCGGGTTTGGGTTCCTCACCTACCCGATTGCACAACTTTATCCCAATTCTCCCCAGCCCTTGGATTGATCCAATGACTATAAAGTGAACCCCTTATAACTTACCCCTCATTATAGTCTGAGCCGTGGGAAAGTTGTAATTTAGTTTGGATTTTTTAATGAAACTGGGCTGGGCTTCAGTTGGTGGTAATTTTTTTTTATAGGTTTTTTTAAAAAAAAATTTCTAAATGGGTGGGTTTTGTACGGTTTCTAGCCCAATAGTGGGCCTGAAACTCAAGCTCCCTAAACTGAATGTTTCAGTACGAAATTGACGCAAAAAAAGTTAACTTTCAGGTATTAAAGTCAAATTCACCCTATTTTTTCAACTCTACGGGAGAGCGGAAGGCTGAATGAAAGAGACAGGGAAGGGTATGCGTCAAGCTCAAGTGCGAAGAAGAACTTTCATACAATAGGGATGTGTTTCAATTTATACAGCCAGTTGACAAAATTGTAAAACATAGCACATGGCAGTAAATTCACACATCTCTTAAATATTCGTACAAATTCCCAAAATTAATAACAAAATCGTCTCTGCCAAGCCAAATACCAATTTCCAACATCCAAATTGTCTCACAAGACGAAGAAAATGGCATTTACAGCTTACTCTGCTCTCTCGTTCAAATCCCTCCTCCACCCTGAACCCATCAAACACCATCCTTCACTCCCTCAGCTCCCAACCCACAAACCCATCTCAGCCGTCCATGCCGCCGATCCATCAAAGCCCTCCGGTGCACCACAACCCACCTTTCCAACCCAACCCAAATGGAGCCTCGGCAGCTGGAGGGCCAAGAAGGCCCTGCAGCTCCCAGAGTACCCAGATCAGGAGGAGCTGGCCTCGGTCCTCGGCACCCTCGAGACCTTCCCGCCCATTGTGTTTGCTGGGGAGGCCAGGAGCTTGGAAGAGAAACTGGGTCAGGCTGCCATGGGACAGGCCTTCCTTCTTCAGGGTGGTGATTGCGCGGAGAGCTTCAAGGAATTTAATGCTAACAATATAAGGGACACCTTCCGTGTGCTTCTTCAGATGGGCGTTGTGCTTATGTTTGGTGGCCAAATGCCTGTTATTAAGGTTATGATTGCTTTCGTCTCTCGTTCTTGTTCCTTTTTGGTGTTTAAATATTGCGCCTTTTTCTTTTTTGGTGTTGGTTGGGGTGGAAATTTGCATAAGATTATATTAGATTGGTAAATGTTGAATCAATCTACTATGTATGAAACAGGATCATGCGTGTGGTGTAGTTTTTTTTTTTTTTTTTTTTTTTTTTTTTTTTTGTTGGTTGATAGTTTGTGAATCATAATATGTGAGTGATGGAATTAGTCCTGGAGAAATAATACTTGGTGGAATTACAAATTATAATGAAATATCAGTTTAAAATAATATGACTTCATTGGTGGTGGAATGCTAATTTGTGAGAGATATGTTTTCCTATAATTAAACTGTAGTCGTAGAAATGGTTCATGGCAAAAAAAATCGTATCTATAATAATTAGCCATTGAATTTTAACTGATGGACATTATAACAATTGTTAATGGAGCTGATAGATGAAATAAACTATGGGTATATAATTTAGGTAGGGAGAATGGCTGGTCAGTTCGCGAAGCCAAGATCAGATCCATTTGAGGAGAAAAATGGCGTGAAGCTGCCTAGTTACAGAGGTGACAATGTCAACGGTGATGCGTTTGATGAAAAGGAAAGACTTCCAGATCCCCACAGGATGGTTAGTGCTTATTGCCAATCTGTGGCAACTTTGAACCTCTTGAGGGCATTTTCTACTGGAGGGTATGCCGCCATGCAGAGAGTCACCCAATGGAATCTGGATTTTACAGAGCATAGCGAGCAGGGAGATAGGTATGGTTCTTACTCCTGTGAGTTAGTTTCAAATTTATAACTTGCTCTGGAAATTCGTTTTTTTTTCTAATGGAATATTATGGTTTCAAACTGTGCTTCACACAGCGTCAACTTTGATATCTTAAGTAGAACTCTCTTTTCAAGTGGTACCAATATGGTGAATATTGAGTGATGGTAAAGTTTAGGTTAAATAATTTGTGCCAGAAGGCCCAGAAAACCAGTTAATGATTTGGGCATGATTGATTTGATGACCCCATTTAGGATGGTTGAGTCCTTTTTCTATTTCTAGCATAACTTCATACGCATAAGGTGACACATCTTTTAGGTGATCATGTATAGAAATGTTATTAGTTTGTTTTGAAGCTTCGCACTTAAGTTTATTGTGTTTTTGTTTTAAAAAAGAATTTATAATGTTATACGGATTCTGTCGATCTTAAATTGGGTGTATGCAGTTTATTTCTATGTGGGTTGATTTGAAGTAGCTCTAGAGTTCAACAGGGTTTTTAGTACTTGGGAAAAATTCAGGCTTAACCATATAATTGGTCTGGCTCAATAGGTACCGTGAACTGGCTAACCGGGTAGATGAAGTCCTTGGATTTATGGCTGTTACTGGACTCACAGTTGACCACCCAATCATGACTACAACAGAGTTTTGGACATCTCATGAATGTTTGCTTCTGCCTTATGAACAAGCACTTACTAGGGAGGATTCTACTTCTGGGCTTTACTTTGACTGTTCTGCTCACATGCTGTGGGTTGGGGAACGAACCCGCCAACTGGACGGTGCACATGTTGAGTTTTTGAGAGGAGTTTCTAATCCCCTTGGCATCAAGGTATCCAGCACAATTTTGCTTTCATTTATGTTCAAAAACACTCGTTTTCTTTTTTCTTCTCATACTAAATTCCTTTGCATCGGTGGCATGAACAAGCGTAACACTATTATGCGTCATGTATTTTAAGTCTTTGTTGAATATCTTAGTTTGTAATTGTGAACCTGGTAGAGAGATATGCTGGTGGTTTCTTTTCTTTTTTCTTTCCAGAAAAATGTAGGCAGTGTATGACAGACAATATTGTAATGCAGGTGAGTGATAAAATGGATCCAAATGAGCTTGTTAGGCTCATAGAGATCCTAAACCCCAAGAACAAACCAGGAAGAGTAACAGTAATTGTGAGAATGGGAGCTGAGAACATGAGAGTGAAGCTTCCTCATCTGATCAGGGCTGTCCGCGGAGCAGGTCAAATTGTCACATGGGTTAGTGACCCTATGCACGGAAACACAATAAAAGCTCCTTGTGGACTCAAAACTCGTTCCTTTGATGCAATTAGGGTATGATGTTATAAATTCACACTTTCACTCTTGCCACTTGTTTGCTGGGTTCATTTTTTATATATATAAATTAAATTGTCTATTCTGTTCAAGTAAGGCTGCCAATATCTATTCAAGTTAAGATACCTTTTCATAAAATAAAATAACAATAAAGAAGGAGATTAACTGCATCTCTTGAAGTCTGTGGCTCTCTCTGTCACCGAGTTTTGAAGTGTTGGTCCTTTTTCAAAAATCCATTCCAATTATGTGTTTCATTGTCATGACACAATTGGTCAATAGTCAATTACCAATAAAACATGATGACCCATGTCTAGTAGGTTGGACAAGGACACTCTTGAAATGAGATATCTTAGTCCATGGAATTATTGAAGTTGTCTGTATGATTTATCATATAATACATATTACTTTTTTCTTTGAACATATCTTTGAAATGTGAAAATCCAACAAATGGGCTTGATTTCTTTCTTCACACTGTACATATGATTGCAATTTCAGATAAAGTAATGTATTGATCTCTAGATGGTCAGAAAAATGCTTGAAACATTGATGCTTCATAATTGTCCTGATTGATGGCTACCTTGAGTAGGTTGGAAAGATTACTAGTCATGGAAGCTTGCATCGTTAAGCTTTTCAAAGTCCAAAACGTTCAATTTTTATTCTCTTTAGTTGAAGTTTTAATTACACCTCCAACTATACTAATAGCAGCAATGATCTTGTTGTTTTATACTGTCAGGCTGAGCTGAGAGCGTTCTTTGATGTCCATGATCAAGAAGGAAGCTACCCAGGAGGTGTTCATTTAGAGATGACAGGGCAAAACGTGACAGAGTGTGTCGGAGGTGCACGAACTATAACATATAATGATCTGAGTTCACGCTACCACACTCATTGTGACCCAAGGCTCAACGCTTCACAATCTCTTGAACTTGCCTTTATCATTGCTGAGCGGCTACGTAAGAGAAGGCTTGGATCAAGGCACTTTCCGGCCTCTGCTGTTATATAGGAGATTCCGGCTTTGCTTGAATCTGAATTCAGAAAATCGTGGTGAGCTGTATGTATTATGTATAGAGTAGAAGGTGTGATAGTATGAGATATATAAAGCAAAAGGCTTTCAACTGCATCAGGAAATCGAACAAATATTATATCGATGGATTGACAAGTTACAAAGATGATACTTATGTTTGTGATGATGATTTAAAATGTATAGCAGCAGACATGTAATGATGTATTTCTCTATATATAAATAAAGGTAATTTTGACCTAAGCTCTCATTTCTCCGGGTCGTCAGCACGATATTGTTTGTGGTTCAAATGTTCTTTTATATCTCGGCCTACTTCATGAGTCTCATTCCTCTAGGTGGGATTTATATAAGACACAATATTTTAGACAGTTGTTCATTTTATTAAGAACCAGTCCTAGCATCAAATAACGATAGGACTCTTGTCCATTTTAATTCAAATAGTTCAGTCTGGTCCTGCTCACCCACCAAAGTGGTAAAAGGTTTTATAAAAAAGAAAATGTTGGGACATATTCCTTCCATTTAATTAAAATTGAGCATATGGCATTGAGCAAGCATATCCCCATTTAATTCCTCCATGGTATTGGTACAATGGTCTCCTTAATCAATATGACTAAATATCCCCATTTAATTCCTCCATTTAGTGTAGAATTTATTTATATTATTAATGCTAAGAATTGATATATGACTAAATATATCCTTAATCAATATGGGGAAACGACATGGTTGGAGCAAGAATTGGATTATTGGAGAGATGTATTGGGAAAAAAGGGGGAAAAAGATAAAAGGCCAAAGGGCCCACCGCCTACTTATTGGGGTTTGTTTGTAGTGTACTTAATTTTCTTTTGTTTTTGGGGTAAACCGTAAATGTTACTCCATGGTCCGTTCAATACGCTTTAAATTCGAAAAATATGCACACTTTTGGCGGAAGAAGAAAACAAAGTCTCTCCCAGCTCGTGACTTTTTTCTTACTAATTAATTAATTAAAGTTAACCTTCCATTCCATTTGAACCATTAGTTTTGCATATTACATAAGACAAAGTATAGGAGCTAGAATGATGACGCGATGAGTGTTATAGACACAAGAATTTTATCTCGACGTTTTTAATTAATTATGTATGTCATGCGCGCATTGAGTATCATAGACGACAGTTTCTACACTCCAAATAAAATAAAATTTTGCATGCATTTCCTCTTGTCCTATATCGATCTCTCACATCGCTTGTCTGGTTTGTAGAAAAAATTCCGTGATGAGAGATATAGATAGATATAAACGTGGAAAATGGGTTGCGAATATAGGTAAGTTTATTCTCGCATACTTGTCACAATGGTCTCCCAGGGCCTAGCATAAAATCATTAAGCTTTCCTTTACCCTATAAAATATTGCCCAAAAGCAAACCCAAACTTCATAATGCCAATGCCACCTTCATTTCTCCTTTTGCTTTCACAAACATTTTCCCTCTATTTTTTTTCAAGACAGAGAAAATAAAATTTACACGTCACGCAAGACGACAACCTTCAAGTGTGTACAAAACCCCCTTCTAAAAACCTTATCCACCGCATCGTACACCATCACATCACCATACTATATATCAACCTTAATATTATATTATTATAATAATATCTACACCATCACGTGCGGCCCCAGATGCTTGCCACATCACTCACACAAGCGGCTTGCATGCAGAGGTCTGCGGGTCCCACATGGCGGGCAGCAAGAACTTGCGCCCGTTGGCCCCAACCGCGTTGTAGCTCGCCCCAGTTGATTTATCCACCAGGACCCGACCCGGATAACCCGGGTAAGCCCCAGATCCAAAAACGCCCGTGCACGCCGAGACCGCCTCAAGCGGCGCGCTCGCCGGACCCTGAAAGTAGCCGTTGTTGTACGGATTGGTCACGGTTCCCGCCAAAAGCGTGGCGAGGTTTATGATGACGCCGTCAATCCCGACGTCGCCGTTAGGCGCAACTAACGGCGGCGTTTGTGGGCCGTAGATGGGCTGGTGAAACGGCCAGGCACATTGGCCGGGGCACTGGGCCTCCGAGTTCCCGACCCAGATGTACGCCGTCTTCTTATCCCGGGTCGACCCGTGGGTCCCGCACCGGCTGCAGAACCCGGCGACCGCCACATCACTAGCGGTCAGAACCACGTTTATTGCTTTGAGCGCGTTGACTTTGCCCGCGAGGGCCACCAGGTGTTGGTTGCCGAGGGACTTTCCCAGAGTGTAGGCCTCGTGGAGGACTTGCCTCCCGACCACGAGGTTCGAGGCGCCGCTCTTGTACTTCTCCGTCGTTTTCCACCAGGACGCCGCGGAGCCGGGCGGGGCCCGCCTGGAGCTGAGGGACTGGACGAAGTCGACGACGATGGACCGTTGGATCGGGGTGAAGCGGCCGTACCAGATGAGATTGACGGTTATGTTGCCCTTGAGAAGCGCGCCGTTGTGGTACTTGAGTACCAGAGGCTGCTGCTCTACCAGAGCGCTCAAATTGGGGCCGATGAGAGAGAGGAAGATTATAAAAGAAGTGGCATAGTGGTAAATAGAAGCCATCTCGAAGGGCGAGAATTTCAGGGTTTTCAAACCGAGAGAGATTTTCAGGCTTTATGGGGTGGGGGAGGTGAGTCAGTGAGTGAAGCTGAATTGGGTTCGTGTGTGCTTTTATATTCGGGTTTTGAGGACGATAAGGGGGACAGCTGTAGAGAGGACAGTTGTCAACGTCAAAGACTGACGACACGTGGGGGATTTTAATTGGGGGGGGGAAAAGAGCTCTCGAGACTGGAGGCTTATGCCAGGCTGTAAAATTTCTGATAGTAGGAAGGGGGGTTGACGTGGGTGGTCTACGGAGGGAAGGGGGCTTGTTTGTTCCAGGCACTTGATGCTGACTTTAGCGTATAGAGAGACTCGTTACCCCGCGTGCACCTAGATATTAATGCTATTACTCGTTTCAGCCAATAATGTTACGTTATATAAAAGTGTTATCACGCGTGTTATATTCGTTGCATAAAAATCTTTTTAAATTATATTTTTGTTAATTTACTATATTTGCAAAGCTACATCATTATTTATGGGCTATATGTAGTCTTCAATTAATCTTCAATTCGGTTTATATCATTTGAAGTCTGAAAGTTCTGATTACATTACGTTTTGTTTTGTTTTGTTTATAATCTTCTTTTTTTCCTTTTCAAAGCTAAGAAAGAGAACGGGAGTGTTATGAAAATTCAAACTTAAGAGCAAATTTTTTTAAAAACGCCAGTCTATGATCGTTTGAGTAGTCGATCATTTTCATTTCATACGATTCTTTGTCTTTTCATATGAAAAAAACGATTCTTGTCTTTGTTCTCGCACCTTCCTCTCTCCAACCTCTATCCTTTCTTTTCCAAAGTAATCTCATCCTTTACCAAACCCATTCCAGTAGAGTATGCCCCACCCCAGTAGGGTTTCCATGACCCGTCGTAGCCATGACGTGGACAGAAGACTGCCTTAGGTAGCTGGTGCATACTTGGACAGAGTCAGAGGGAGGGCCACTGTGGAGTTGATTAAGTGATGACATCATCACCCAGAGGAAGAGTAGAAGCTTTGCTTTGGCGCAGACTCCGAGACCAAATGGTTCAGCGCTTCGGGATTATTTAAATTAATTATAAAAAATATAAAGCTCCCCCATGATTGTGTCTAGTTGCAATTAAAAACAGGGATTTTGAAATTAAAATAAATTAAATTAAATAATAGTGTTTGATGCTCGATGCTCTCTAGAGGCCTCGAAGCTGGACCTTCGAGCTACTCGGGCAGTGGTATTTTGTTTGGCGCTTTCGACTGACGTCAGCTTTTGTGGAGATTGAGCAGTGAAGAAAAAAACTTGGTTGCATCAGGAATATAACTATTTTACCATCTTGGCTAATAAAGCAATGTATACTGAAAAATTATCATTATTGATCGGGAATATCAAAATAGTGTTATCTCGGTTTTAAATAAATGTTTCCGAGTATCAACAGTTAGAGGTCTGATGGGTTATGATTGTGTGTAGGGTGGTCCACGGTCTACATGGTAGGCATGGAAAGTTGGCCGTCAGATAACTTGAATGTTGCAGTTTCCAAACATTGCCTTTACTTTTGGTTAACATTAAACATGCGAGTCCAAGTTGCCGACTGCACGTGACAGATTCAATAATTCTGCTTCCGAGAAAGAAACAAATAAAATGATTAAAAAAAAAAAAAAAAAAAAAAAAATAAATGACTACAATGGACACCAAATTTCACCTCTTGCGTTCATGTAATTTAAACCAAATTTCAATTAGGTTTCTGTATTTTCAGATTTGTTAATTTTACTACTGTAGATCAGTACTTGTTGTAACCCATCCACAATTTCCATCAGTTTTGTAAGGGTAATTAAATCCTTTTTTTTTCTTTCCAAGTGAAAAATGTAAAATTATTTATTAAAAAATATCGGTATCATTTGATATGGCAAACTAATGTGTATTGTCATGTTAAATCTAAGGTGGTACTTTTAACAGGTAGAAAACATAGCTGAGTCTTACTCTAACTGAAATGTTAAATCCTATATGGAATAACATTTCTCTCTCATACTGTTATTTTGGTTGTTTGATTTTGTGAAGTTATTTCATTATTTTATTATTATTTTTCAATTAATGTGACATATCGGATGAATATAAAACTCTATTATATGTTAAATTAATTACCACATAAGCCATAAAATTCAAATTTAATGTTTGATATTTAATATCTCCCTTGGAGATGCTCTAAGAAAAGTTAGTTACTGAACCTCTCATCTTCTCTTCGACTAGCGATCCGCCAGGAAAGAAAATTTATTTCCTCAAATAATTTAATGTTATGAAATTCCTAATAAATGAGCAGTGGTGGAGCCATGATTTTATGTGTGAGGAGGCCTCTTACAAAAATATGTATATAATTTGAACTCGCAATACTTTCCAAAGTAACCAAAAAGACCAAAACACCATACATAATACATATTTAATGAAATCTTTACAATTTTTTATTTTCGTAGTCTACACATTAATTGAAAGACTCATTAAACTCAATAGAGAATAAATCAAATGTTCACAAACCTTAATGAACCATAAGCAGAGAGAAAACAATACAAAAATAAGAGAAAGATGAACAAATCTTAATTAAGTGAGTCAACCCAATTAAAACTTAATAATATATTATATGGAGAATAAGAGAATAAATAGTCACAAATCTAGTAAGAGAAATAGGTGAAAATGACTCTTAGATTTGGCGGACTTGTGTAAAAAATAAAAATATGTATACAAAAAATTTAGAAAATTAATCTAAAACATTAAAAAAGATGTAGACTTGAAGAGAGAAACCCTAGAAATATTAAAAGTATCATAAAGATAAAAATATGTAGTTTGGTCCCTTAATGGCTCGGCCACTGTAAATGAGATCGCTAAGAATTTTTGTGGGTCATCCATGTAATTGTAAAGTGAACCCTACAAATAGAGGTGCTAATGAGAAGAAGCAAGGAATACAACTACTTTCTCACTATTTTTCTATTTTCTTATTTTCATAACACGTTATCAGCACGACATCGCTTTTTATATATTATCTTTCTCTAATCTTGACTTCACGATGCTATCGTTTTAATTAGATAATGACACCCAAACACGGGACCAAATAGTAAAACACAAAAACAACTTTAGCATTTAAACCCTATAATTTGATCACATCCAAACAACATTAGAAGAAAATGAAGGAGGAAAAGGCAAAAAGGTTAGGTCATGGTTCACGTTTCGAGCACAAGAAAAAGCTTTGGTTTCACGTGAGTGGCGAGAAGGGGAAGCAACGTCGGCAAAGACGTCGACAAAAGCTCTGGTCAACCATCAAATGGCGGTGTCGGGGACTTTGGGAGAATAATTCCAAGGCATGCATGCACCGTCTTTCACTCACTTCTGCCTTTCGGTAAATAACTTTTTCTAAATTTGACCCCAAAGAGAAGAAAAAAAACCTTTTTGTAATTGACACGTGGTTTCATTTTCGAGGTCTTTTAGGTCTTTGTAGTGGCCCACACAGTGGACGTAGTGTGCTATGAAAATGATGCAATAAGGATAAGCTTTGCCATTACGAGATGTGGTAGTGTCTGGTAAATTTGCTAATACGACCAAAAGAACTCTATTTATTTATTTATCCATTTGGGTGTACGAAAAGAAGATATTGATCCTGGTGATGTGAATGTCGATGTTCGTACTTCAATTTGTACAATGAAGTGCATTGGAACCAAGTACTTAATTAAGTAAACAAGAAAGGTAAGGGCAATTTCAGCGGAGACACACTATAATTGTAAATCAGATGATTAGAGCACGTGACTATGAATAACGGTATATTCAAATTTGTTGAAGTAGTCGGCGTCATTCGAGAAGGCCCGTATGAGAATGAGCGATTAACCGAAGCACAATTCAGAAGAAACTCGAACTTATCTAAAATTATGTCTTAATTGAATTGAAAATCGACAAGCAGGTTTAGAATCACAAATTAGTATGTGGAAAAAGGTACAAACTAGTATTGCTATATCCAAATATCGTAATGATGTAGAGAGATTCTACTATAACACCCCTTCACATAAAATGTTTAATGTTTTTCTCAATCATCATATGTTTACTGAATTTGTGGTGTTTATAATTTCTTATTTTGCCATATTTATAAAGTGATAAGATTTTGAGTCAAATTAAGACGAAGATATGTATGTGCATGAATGGATGTGTATATGCACCAATCATTTGGTGGGAGTTAGGGGAGTGATGGGGATAAATCGACCCTACATCACCAAGACTTTAGGGTTTAGAAAATTAGAATAGCGACCCATGTAGAGAATGTCACAAGCCGACAAAGGAAACAAAATAATGCAGCTGGATTTTTGCGTGCCTTATTATCATGCATTGCATGGCCTTCCCTTTGCCTCCTTTTCATTTGATTTGATTCGTATTGCTTGTTCAACTAGGTGGGATCGGCTCATTGAGACCAAACAATGAAACACCCATATTTTTCGTGTTTATTCCGTTTTTCTGGAGTTTTCTTTTTGTTTTTTGATTGTTCTTGTCTTTCCTTTTCTCGTTTTCTGTCGTAGTGTTGACGTTTTAAAACGACTAAAGTCCTCACTTTCCTTTCAAATCCTTAATTACAATTTATTTCAATGAAATTCTTGTAACATATATATAATGTTTTTAGCTAGAATTGTCCTTGAATTTATACCCGAATTTTATTTTGATTCTCAAAACTCATTTTTTAGGTCATGTCGTCCTCCAACTCTCTTTCATTCGTGCCAATTTAGTTCTTATGTCAAAATATGTCAATTTGACCATTTATTTAAGATGTAAAGAGTCAATTTTGGTACAGCTATCATATAAAACGACCTACCATACTATTTAATTGTGTCCATAAAGTTGTTAGTTCGCTATTAATTGGCACACGGGAGAGAATTAAAGAAATGCATAAATTAAAAAACGAGTTGAAGGATCAAAATAAAACTCGTTATAAGTTCAAAGACTATTGCGACTAAAAATTATATACATATATATATTAAATTAAAATTATTTGACCAAATTAAATTGCAAGACCCCAAAAGTTGGAAGCCAGCTCTGCGTGTGCCACATTAATTCGTAGCCAGTTGAATAGTTTGAATAATAATTAAGGTGGTGGTCTGAATATCCACATCCCAGTTGATCATATCACCAATGGACAAACAAGATGAGGCCAAGTTGACCGAAAAGAAAAAAAGAAAAAATCTGGTCCATCGATCTTGGCCTTTTATTGATCTTCCTCGTGTATTGACAAAAGCTAATAATTTATTAAAGAAAAAGATGATTAATTAGGACAGGGCAAGTTGCCGACGCTATACAATAAGAGGCCGGTCTGTGAGTGACTGGCCAACTATATACTGACGATGATATGCTCCAAGTGGGTCGAGTTCATACTGTACACAGCTGCAATGCATGCAGTTGAGTTTATAGTAGGATTTGATTCTTCTTTTTTTTAATTTTAATTTTTTTTTAAATTTTGGAATATTGCCAATGCATGCTGTTGAGTTAATTGCCGATGATTTTTTTATTATTTTCTTTATAAATAAGATGTTAAGGAATATAAATCTCATATCGAAAGCTTGACTAAATAAAATATAAAATGTAATGAACGGTTTCACCACTAATATCACCGAGACATTTTGTGATAAGATTCCACACCTACTGGACTTTGTAAGTGATTAAGTTAGGGATAATATTGGTGTTGCTAGTAGTGGGCCGCTGACTCATATCTCGAAAATTTAACATAAGCAAAGATGGGCTAAAGCCTAAAACCCATTGGAGACTCTCCTCGACCATCAAAACTAAAAGATATCAATATGATAGGGCAATATATTCAATTATTTCAAGAGTTTATCCATCATATACATACACACAAAAACTTTTGACAATGTGACACCCATACTTCACTTTCAGTGTGAAATGTACCACCTTCATCTAACTTCGTCAAGATCAATATTAGTCGATTGTACATTTGTTAATGTACCTATTCCCGTCTCCAACCGTGCAAAGCCTCCTCCCTTCCCTAGCCCCTCCCTCCACGACACCCATTCCCACCTCCAAATCCTCCCCCCAAGTCCCTTGCTCAATCTTTCATGGGGAAAAAATGATGATTTACGTCTTTGCTCACATCCTACTAGCACAGGAGTGTTCTTTTTTACCCTTGCTCAATTAAATAGAAGTTAATTGATTTATTATTTTTTTTTTTTTGTGTGTGTGTTGTTTATAAGCTAAATAAATAAATCGAATCTAAATAGAAAAAAAAAAAAAAAAAATCTCAATAATTTTAATTTTATGATGATTATGCCTAAATAAAATAGCTAGAAAAACTATGGGAGCTAAGAGTTGAGAGACAACTATAGAGCACCAAAATTCCTCCATGTAATCAAAGGAAGAAGGACCACCCATTTGTGTGCACCAAAATAAATAAAATGAACCACTCCTTTGTCATTATCTTGCCGTGGGTAGTAGGTACCGACATACCATTCAAAGTATTTTGGAACCAAGGAAAAGCCGCCCACGCCTTATAAAACAATGAGCATTTATTGAAGGAACCTCTCAAAGATTATTCCAAGAGGGTTGTATACAACACAAAGAAATGTTTCTAACTTTATGTCCAAGTCAAGGGTTTGGTGGTTCGTTTATCAAGTGGAAAAGCCAAAGAAAGCTCAAGTGGTCCACAGTTTGGAAAGGAATTGTAATATATGTGTGATACTATTACAAAACAATATGGTAGGTACTGAAACCATTTGAGTTTTTTTTTCTTTCACATAGACGATTCTCTAAATTATAAAAGCACTTCCAATAGGAGGGGCTAGCCCAAGCAAGAGGCCTCCTAGGCCTCTAATCCTGTTTCTAGCGCTCAATTCTTGCCAGGGAAAGCGCTGGGCTTCACCAGTCTGGGCAAGCCCAAAGGCAAGACTTGCTTGGGTTGTTGCTTGAGCAAGATGACTTAATACTGACATCATTGTGATGTAAGCAGCCAATTTAAATAACAAAAGAAATTTTAAAAAGTGAAATAATACAAAAAATTTGGAATTTTTAAAAATAAATACATAGCCATGTTCTTCACTTCTCACACCAAAACTTTGTACAAATTCCTCTCCTCATATCTCATATGAATAATGGTTACTCTTGAGTTGCCATAACAATGGGTGGAAAACCAACAAAAAAATTGCTAAGGCAGATACTATTCAAATAAATAGTAACAATCCTTGCCTCCCCTTGTCTTTTGTCATGACAAATGAGTGGAAATGCTCTAAAAGAGAGGATAGTGTTTTCACACACACAATGAAGATGCCATGAAAGTTCAAATATGAGATCACTAATTTATAAGGTCTTTTTCCACTAGACACTAGACCCCGTTGGCATCATTTGAGCTTTTAAAGCTAGTTGTTTTAGTGTTTCTAGTAAATGAAATTATTTTGAGGTTTATCCAAAAAAGTAAAAGAATATCGTGAGGCTCGTGTTGAAGGTAGGTAATCCAAGTTGCAACGGAACTATATTATAATCATGATGTAGTTGCCAAAGTAACATTACTTAAAGCAAGGGTTTAGGCCTTTTTTTAGGAAAAAGAATGGACGACATGTCACACAATAACACAATTTGAATATGCAAAAAAATTAGTAAGTGTTTTTTGAGTCAATCCTTGTTGAATCGGGTTTATAATGAGTTGACACGATAATAACATGTTATTAATAAGTCAAATTAGTGTTCGTTTGCAAAACACAATAATTATTTGTGAACATACAAAGGGTATTTGGACTTGAGTATAATCAAGACGTAAAGTATATAGTGACAAGACCCAACCCAAATTCCACTTTGGAATTTGAGTCGAATCTTGTGCGTGTCCGACACCTGGCAGTTGCCGGACACAAATGACCACAATGCCTCAGTTGGACTTCTGCCGAAAATTCGATAGAATCTCCCCTGTAATATGCTAGTTTCCCCCAAAACTTCTACCTGTCAAATAAGCATATACATATGTAACCCAACTGCCAGCATGTATCGAATTATGTCCAAGAAATCAAACATCATATAATTCTGGCCTTAGGCCTCAACCAATCTAATAAATCATCCTGTTAGTAAAGTTCATTTGAACCTTTATAATACCAATGGTATATTAGTAATCTCAAGGACTCCAACTCGTGGCTGCACATTATAACATCAGGCTGCCTACGTACCCTTACTGCCACACGTAGTTCTTTCCTATACTATACTCATATAAGTCATATACTGAATATAAATATACCACACACTGAACTCCCTTTAGTTTAGTTTAAGAATATCTCAGAATTGAAATTCTCCTTACTTAGGCGTACCCCCATTCCTGATCCATCAATTCCACTAATACCGTCAACTCCATCCTCGCAGGCCGAGCCGCAATCCTCGCAGGCCTCGGAGATACCACTTACATCCGAGCCGCAACCCTTGTAGGCCCCAGCCGCATTCCTCGCAGGTCTCGCAGATACCACTTCCATCCGAGCCGCAATTCTCACACCGCACGCTTTAGGAGTCCCCTAAAGGTTCCCATATGCCTAGGACACATGTCCTGAGAGTTTGATCTCGATCAGACGGTCGGATTAATCACGATCACACGATCAGGCGGTTACTGTAAACCTAGCCCTAGGGTTGGTGTTTCTGGAGTATCCGGAAATCCATTTTACGATCCGTCAAATCCTATACGATCTTGGAATTATCTAGATCAACATATCTGAAAATGACTACAATCCAAAGGCCCAAACATATCGAACCCGGAAATCGCACACTAAGCGAGATCCGTTCGGGGTTAAAATGTTATCCGGAGTGAAATCCACGAGTACCTACACACTCGTGAGGGCCAAGGGATTATTTTAGGACTGAATGTGATCCCCACCATGCTACCCAAGCGTCGCCTCATGCGCTGGCAGTGCGTGGGTGGCTTGATTAATTCTGATGATAGAAAAACTTTGAAATTGTAAGCCCAGCTTCCTACCCTAGGTTAATAGTATGATTTGGAGCCACTTTTGTTCTTAAACCTACCCTAAAAACTGGCCGGAATAGCGATCCCAAAATCGACCGAACCCTAACTCGAAAATCGAACTATCTATGCTTCGAATTGAAGAAAACCGACACAACCACCAGCTAGAGCTCGTAGAGTAGGTGAGAAACCATACCTGGATTGACGGATTCCGTTGCCGGAGCTACCGGAAATAACGTATGAAAGTTCGAAGGAAAACCGGTCTTTCCCAGCTCGTGTCGGCGACATGGCGGCCTAGCATGGTAGGGCTCTAGCCCAGACGGTTTCGCTGGCTTACGCTGGTCATTTTTCAACCGGTCCCACGACCTGGCGTGGCTAGAGCTGCCTGGAAGCTGGCCAAACGTGGCCGACCTGTGTCGTGTGAGAGGAGCCGTCGAGAGAGAGGAGAGAGAGTGTGTCGCATGGAGGAGAGAGAGGGGGTTTTAAAAGTCTGATATGGCAAATTACCATTTTGCCCCTCATCGTAACTTGATCATATTTTCTTCGTTATAACTTTGATTCAAGCCCACTACGTGTCTACGAACTCGTACCAACGTGCTCTACGCAACGGTACAATTGAAATTCCCAAATTCCTTCATGGTAAAAAAAGTCAACTTTTAAACCTAATAAAATATTCCGACGATATTCTATTCCTTTCCTTGAATAAAATAATAATTAAGAAATAATTAAGGATCGGGTTGTTACATATAGCCCAAGGCATAATCCATAAGGGTTATGCAACATGTAGCTTGTAGCAAAAACTCGTGAATGTATGTAGCGTATGGGCGCGGCTTGAAGGAAACCTTGGTTATTCAAAGTTCATTTGTTCAAAAGAAAAATCTTTAACCCAAGTAAAAAGGAGATGGAAGAAGCGAGCCTTCAACCCTATCCAACTAGTCCACCAAGGTTGATGAAGCTTCAAACTTGATCTTCTCTCCTCCACTTAAAAAGTTAGGAGATTCACTGTTATACCCAATATAAAAGCCCAACTTATAAAAAAAATCCATATGAAATGGACTTTAGAAACAAACCCAAAACTTATTTACAACATAACAAAAAGGCTTTTAACTTCTTATAAATTACAAAATTGCCATCGATTTCTTATAACAAGCCAAACCCCAAAGCCTTAAAAAAAAACCCAAAACACTCTATAGGGAATCAAAGTAATTTAATAATCAAATTAAATTCAATAGGGCAAGCTGTCATTTTTGGGTTTGTTCATAGAAATTAAATGGTGTAGGTGTTCACCCTTTTTTGATTTGTTTCTATGATGGTAGGGGTAAAGTTTCTCATTGTCTTGAAAACCATTGATTGGTCAACAAAGTCAATTTTCTTTTGTGTATGAGCGTGTCACTGCTAGCAATAAAAACCTTAGCAGACTTCTTTAAAAATGGATAACTTGCGCCCCATGTTACTAATTTCTAAACAAGTGATTGTGAATTTGGGTGAGGAATATCTCCCAAGTAAGTTCTTTTCTTTGCCTCAGACTGGTGATGACTTCACAATTTTTCACAGTATAAAACTGATAGTTCTTGCCAAAATAAATGATAAGAAAGTGAACTGTTTTTAGGTAGAACTGCCCTTTACAAAGCTAAAAAGGAAAGACCAACTCTAAAAAAGACAAAAGAGCATTGGACTTCAATTTCTGCCTGGATAGCTACTTTTGATCTGGACTGGATTGGATGTATCCATGCTAGTCTGGATTATCAACACCTTCAACTGTCAAGTTTTAGCTATAAATCGATACCAACGTTCGAGTTTGGCAGAGCTTTATCTATTTCTAGCCCCGGAAGGCTTTTTGAACGGGCATAATTGGAACCTCTTCAGTTTGGAAGTGGTTGGATTTGATAATTTATTGAGTTGGAACTGCACTGTAGTACATGTTCTACTTGATCAGGGCTCTCCATGAATTTGTTGAGGTTTTCATATTTGTAAAACCCGAACTCTGCTTGTTTGGGCTTATGTTGAACCAAATTTGTAACGAGAGAAATCTCGCTTTGTATGACTATTTCTCTGAAACTGAACTGACTCTAGAGATTCTGAATTCTAGCTGACTTGTTTGTTGTGGTTCAATGAGCTTTGGTTGCTTCAGTGTTTTGAAGGTTTTTGAGATCAAGTGATCATTTTGAGTTTTTTGTTTTTGATTGATTTTTTGGTTGTCTTTAATCTGTTCACCTTCTCTCATATGTATAAAAAAATGTTGGAGTAAGATTTTAAATTTTTTTAATAATGGGTGGCAGATTTTCTAAAAACAAGATCTTTTATTTTAAATGTCAAAGAAAAGGGAATTTTTATCTATTTTGGCAAACAAACCATCAACAGTTAGTTCTTTATGGTGATCACTTCTCTGCTCTTTTTGAAAGGAAACCTAATCCCTTTTTGATCTTTAGGACATCCAGATAGAAAAAGGAAAAAGGGAATAGACATTTACTCTTGATGACATTTTCTTGATTTCTCAAGAATGAACACATTTGTTTGGAAAGACCTTTTGTTTCTCTACCTTACCATACCAAATGCTCCTAGAGATGAAGAGAAGACAATCAAGAAGTATGGATGCTAGTCTACTTCTTAATTGAACCAATTTTTGGTTTATAGAAGATGAGATACAAAGATGATCACTCATCAACCAAAATAGGAAAACCAAAAACCCTAGCTAGGTTTTCTCCAACACTTAGCTTATATTGGACATCACAAAAGGCACACACGAATGCAGACATATATGTGTGTGAAATAGAGACTAAAAACATGCAATAGAAACAACGAACAAAATGTGCTAACTAGAAATTTTAAAGCAAACTCAAATATATATCAAATAGAACTAGAAAACCAGAGGGGATGAGGGCTATTCCAGGTGGTTAATACTCACCCTTCTATCATTCTTTGCATGGGATTGGCAAAGGAAGAATCGATGACAAAACTGTTGCAACCGTCACCAATCAAATCATCATAGGAAACATCTGATTCGGAAAACCTAACCTAATCCAAGCCCCAATTTTCGAAACCCTATACAAAAACACTACAATTGCGACCAAGAAGGAAATCGTTATTAGGGTTTAGATTGGGTTTTGACTTATCAGAATGAGATCAAATAAGGTTGACTGGTCATTGAGCTCGGCGCCGATCTTGAACTTAGCAAGATAGCGATCGTAATCGCCCTTCATCTTGAGCTAGAAGACCTTGGAGTTGCCGGTGAAGGCCAAAGGGATGAGCCGCGAGTCAAAAAGGATATAATTGTCTTTTCAGTGATTAATATAAGGTGAGGCAACGATAATATAAAGATAGTTATGTCTAATACCGAATTTTTCTTAGAGAAAATAATGGGGTGGGCTGGAGCCTACATGGAGGGGGTGATATATGACCCAAACTGTCTAACAAATGATTTTTCTATTTTTATTTATTTAATTTTGATTTTGTCTTTTATATAAGCGACATTCCAGAAGGAGGAAGCAAATCAATAACCTCAAATAGGGGTAAATGTTCTTGGTTACTTGAGCTTGAAAAAACAAAGAAAATCAAATTTGAGTACTCTTCTAACACTGGAGAATTGCGATTGGAGTTGATAAGCATAAAATTATTATTGTTGTGGAAAAAATAAGAAGGAAAATCCAGAAGTTGACGTCCCCCCTGACGTTATTTGGAAAATAAAAAGAACGCATTAGTTTTTAACTTAGGTGTAGAAACCAGAAACAACAGGTCTCCCACATGAACATTAATAACACTTGTCCACGTTCACGCTTCATCACTCAGCAGCAGCCATCTTACTACCCACTGAGCAATATAAATACATGCATACAGAGAGAGAGAGAGAGAGAGAGAGAGATGGGTTGGGGTGGGATATTGGGTTTTGAGTATGGAATTATTCAAGCACCATTGGGACCTGATATTGCTGGACCCGATCTTGTTGCTGCTGTTGCTAATGCTGGGGGACTTGGTTTCCTCAGAGCCCCTGATTGGGTATGCTTCTTTCCTTTCACTTTTCTTTTATTTCCATTTCTTTCTTTTATGATCTTAATTTCCCATATCAGTATTCCAATATTGTTCTAAATAGTAGTTTTATCTAATTGGAAAATAATATGATTAAACTAGCTAAGGATGGTTTGCAATATTTCTGTGTTTTCCCTTCAATTTGCTCAAGTAATTACCCCCTTTTTTCTTTGGATGACTGAAGCCCTTGGTTTCTGAACTTCAATTCCTACTTTCAAAACTTAAAGGTAGATTTGGAGATCAATTTGACTTCCCTCTTCAGGTCTGGTCTGATTAGCAATAGCAAATTTCAAAACTTGAAAGTACAAACCCTGGTCTTTTTTCATGTAGTCTGTGTGTTGTGCACCTTCAATTTTTCTACATCATTCATACTAAGCCTTGCCTTTAAGCTATTTATGAAATTTTGGGCCTCCTCAACCATTGCAAATTGGCTTTATTTGAATGTTCACCCTTTAATATGTGGTTTAACAATAACGATTCGAGACGCATATGTGGATCGTGCCAAGCAATAACATCCAGCTAGCCATTGGAGTTACTCTGCATCCATGTCAATTTCCCTGAATACAGACTTCTCTGCCTCAAATTGGTACATCAGTTCAACTGAGTGCTGCTCTAATTTTGAGATTTTCCTTTGTTCATAAACTTTTTTAGGACTTGTAGTCCATTTTCTAAGTCTTACTCTTTTTATTCTTTGGATTAGATTGGTCATTTGTCTTCTTCCAACCAGTTTGAACGTTCTTTCCCTCTTTTAGTGAAGAAACCAAGGACTGAGATGACCGTGAGCCTTAATGATTATCACTCAAGTCTTGATGCCTTTGATTGCTTTTTCTTGGCTGCGTAATTCATATACCCCAGAAGTCTGATCACAAATGCACAAATACATGCCCACTTAGTCTCAAACCTGAGAGGGTGAGGACGCGTAATTATGCCTGAGGCCATTTTCCATGCCCTCGCCTCTTTTCTTTTCTATGCCACATCATTAGCTTTTCCAAGGAAGCTCTTGCAAAATTCAGATCAGTGGTTCAAGGTTGAGTATGGCCTGTCATTTGGAAATCTGAAAGTGCATCTGTGATAGTTATAATCTCTTCCATAAAGGTGGAAACAAACAGGCAAAGTGGAAAAGAAAAAGAAAGATATGGGAAAAAGCAGCTAAACGGTTCTCCGAAATGATTATGTGAATATATCAGTATACAATAACTGGCCTTTCTTGGTACTATGGTCTCCTTGCAGTATTTTAGCAGCAAATCGCTGTTAAGCTTATGTGAATATAAACAATACAGGATAACTTGTGAACATATGCCATTAAAGAAGAAACTTCTGAAATACTAATTTTGACTGATCAGGAGTCACCACATTACCTGCGGGAGCTCATAAGGAAGACTCGAAGCTTAACTGACAAACCGTTTGGGGTTGGTGTTGTTCTGGCATTTCCGCATGAGAAAAATATACAAGTCATTTTGGATGAAAAGGTAGCAGTGCTGCAGGTTTACTGGGGTGAATGTTCAAAGGAGCTTGTGTTGAAAGCTCATCAGTCTGGGGTTAAGGTTGTTCCTCAAGTAAGTGTTCCTTAAACAATACTGTCGTCAATGATAATTAGGACATAGTAAGCTGTTTGCTTTCATTTCTCTCCTCATTCAACCATTCATATCAGGTTTATCAGAATTGTTTTGTTTGCTTTCCGCTCTTCGGAAAGTATCTCTTTTTCTCTCCATCTTTTTAAGAATTGTATGTAGAGTGCTGAACATGGCTCAAAGGTTAGATTAAGGGCAGTATGGTTTACTTGATGGATGGTTGATCTATCTTTTCACTTTGATGCAAAATAATTATTGCCTTGTTGATTATTTTTTCCCCGGACTTCCTGCTGAGTTCCATATAATTCCATTGCAGGTTGGTAGCTTGGATGAAGCGAATAAAGCAATATATGCTGGTGTAGATGCAATTATTGTTCAAGGGCATGAAGCAGGAGGGCATGTGATCGGTCAGGTGAGAGTGCTTGCTGGGATCCAAATGTATGAGTGTTTTTTCTTTATAAAAGCATTATAACATTTTCGTTTCTAGAGTTAATGGTAGTTGTATCTGATTGCTCTGTACTTCTTCACTTGGAATACAAAATAACATTAAAACATAGTATGAAAGAATGTAAATTTCGGTTTGGGATGGTTTACCTCTTCTTTGAAACAATGACTCCAAAAGAATAAAGCAATCAAATGTATTAACAGATAGCTCATTATCTGTTATCACGCTGTGTTAATATTTATACGTAAAATAATCTGTTCTTTGATGAGTTTCTTTCCGTTTCAAATATACCTTTTTGCATATGTCACATGGATAAGATTATATATGCATCGTAATTTTTTCTTTGGAGTGTCAATGTCTTGAACTAAAACCTTTGACCTTGTCCCAGAAAGAACTCTATGGATTGGCACTGCTGCTTCACATTCGTGTTTTTGTGTTTTATTCATTCTTTGCTTATATGTTGCCTGATTTTTTGTCTAAGGATTTACTGATAAGTGTTGACATCCATGTGCTTTCTATTGTTAATATATTACAGGATGCTTTGATTTCATTGTTGCCAAAGGTAGCTGATCTTGTTGGAGATCGGGATATACCTGTTATCGCGGCCGGTGGTATAGTGGATGCCCGTGGATATGTTGCTGCTCTGGCCCTTGGTGCTCAAGGGGTCTGCCTAGGCACTAGGTTTCATATACTCCATCTTTATATAGTTCAACTTATGAAAAAAATTCTGAACTATCACAGTTTGAGAACTTTTTTTATCATCTATCAAATTTAAGTTTTATCTTTATTGATTTTGGTTGATATATAAGATTGTTCTCATTATATTACAGGTTTCTTGCAACTCAGGAAAGCCGTGCTCATCCCACATACAAGAGGAAGCTGGTTGAATTTGACAGAACTGAGTACACTGATGTATTCGGGCGTGCAAGGTGGCCTGGAGCGCCGCATCGCGTTCTGCATACACCATTCTTCAATGATTGGAAATCTCTTCCTCCTCATCAGAATGAAGCGGATCAGCCTGTCATCGGTCATTCGACAATACATGATAGGGTGAGAATGAAATCCTGTCATAATTGACAAGTAAAGCATCTACTTTATTTGAAGATATAGGCCATGAACCATTAACGATTTCTGGGTTATGTTCTCCAACAGGAAATAGAAATTCGTCGTCTTGCTGGTACTGTTCCAAATGTGACTGCAACTGGTGACATTGAAAGCATGGTGATGTATGCTGGCCAAAGTGTAGGCCTTATCAAGGAAATTTTACCTGCAGGGGAGGTGGTAAAGAGGCTAGTTGAAGAGGCTCAACTTCTGATAAAGCACAAGTTCAGTGATATATTGTTGACTCACAGCTGAGCCAGATGAGTTTCACACTGTAGAATAGAGTTGGGCTGCTGTGGTCAACAAAGTTTGTTGATGGATGACTTTCCCCTCCCCATAGTTTAGATTTGATTAAAGTAGAATATCGCTTGTATAAAATAAAAAATAAAAAAAATAAAAAAAGACCATGGATGTTCTCTTTCTATTAGTACAATCTTGTAACTTCACTAAAATTTTTGTTAATGCTATAATAGGTTAAGCAAATTCTACCGAAAATCAAATCAGCAGAATGAGATAATAGAGTCCCGCACCGCTAATGCTGAATACAGATACAATTCAGGAGTCACAAAGTACTCAAATTTTGTTGGTGTTGTGAAATAAGAACAAAGGAGAGAGACAAGGATCAAAGAATTGAATGTGTCATTCCAACTTATTAAGCTTGGAATAATGTATGTAAGGGGTTTATAGTTCAAGTGGTTCGTTAAGAATATTTACCCGTGAACTTGAAGTCCTAGGTTTGATTCTCCCCTCCCCCAATATTGTTTGTATCCAAAATGAAAAAGCTTCCTATAATGTATAGGATCTTTAATCAAATAGAATTCTGAAGCAATTATCTTGGTATTATCACCCTGGATCATATAAATATAGGATATCGTGAAATTAATGATTTGGATTCCAAGCCAAAACCAAATTACAGGACTAAATTTGCCTGCCAATGATACTGAGAAATAACATGAATTATAGAAGTTATGACTATTGAATTAACAAAACAGAAAAAAAACAGAAAAAAAGAAAAGAAAAAAAACAAAGATGCATGAATTAATGAAGTCATGACTATTGATTGAATTAACAAAATAGAAAGGTTGAGGTTGGCCCCAATATGTTTGAATGTAGCACCAAAAGACATTTCAAAATTCACAATATCTTGCATGGATGCATCCCTCATATTCCGTAGTGTCAAACCTTTCAAGGGCCAAAGAGTTATAAAATATTTTTATACAAAAATTTAATTTTGTTCAAAATTTTAAAATTACACATTCATTATCGTTATATCCGATAAAACTTAATCTATAGACATTTTCTCTTTATAAACTTTCAAAATGCGATTAAAAAATTCACTAATATTCAAATACCAGCTAGGTCAAAAAAGATGGTGGTAGCTTTTTTCATAGTGATGGCAGCTTTAGTAGTTTTGTTGCCAGCTCTAGAGGAGGAGAAATGTATGTTGTAGGAGCACCTCTTCAAAGTAAATGAGATTTTGACGCTTATTAAATTTAAAAATAAAAAAAATTAAAAGAATTTCAGAAAAAGAAATTAAATGTAATTGACGTCTATCAAATTCAAATGTAACCTCATATCTCATTAAACAAAACCTATGTAAACTTTAATCGGCAAAACATACATGCTAATTTAATGGAATATGGTACGTGAAGAGCAATGGAAAAAGCATGGAGTTGGTGGTGTCACTGAAAACAAGAGCATTTGAATGAACATAGTGGTTTCAAAGTAACCTTTATTTCTATGTTTTCTCTACTCTCTCCAGTTTGATATGTTCAAATTTACTAGTAGCTGTGTTCACCCGTTTTGATTTAGTCCTGTAATGGTAGGATAAAGTTCCCCATTGGCTTGAGAACCATTTGTGGTCAACAAGTCAACTTTCTTTGATGTGCGAGCATGCCACTGTTAGCAGTTAAAAACCCTAATGGACTTGTGAAAAATAGATAACTTGTGCTCCAAGTTACTAACTCTAAACAAGTGATTGTGAATTTGGGTGAGTAATATCTCCCAAGTAAGTTCTTTTCTTGCCTTAGACTAGTGAGGACTTCACAATTTCTCACAGTAAACTAGTAGTTCTAGCCAAGATGAATATTGAAAATAAATCAAACTGTTTTAAAAAGAAACTGCCTATTACACAATTTAAAACAAAAGGGAACTGCCACGTTTGAAAGGACGACAGAACATTGGGCTTCGATTTTTGCCTGTGACTCGGGCTGGATTGGATGTATCTGTGCTGGATTCGAACGTCAGCACCTTCAATTGATGAGGTTCAGCTGAACATCAATACCAATGTTGAGGTTGGCAGAGCTTTTAATCTATTTTAGCCATGGAGAGGCTTGTTGGATGGGCAGAGTTGAGGTTGATGATTGCTGACCTCGGGTTGCACTATAGTACATGTTCTGCTAGATTATGAATCATCCAAGAGCTATTTTGGCAATTCTGAGAGATCAAGGCATCTCTGTAAATTTGTTGAGGTTTTCATATTATGAAAAACCTAGATTCTGCTTGATTTGGCTTATGCTGAACCAAATTAATAACGAGAGAAATCTCGTTTCCTTTGTGAACTGCTTCCCTGAACTGAACTAGAGTAAGAAGTATGAGTTATGTCTGTTTTGTTTAGAAGCTGGATGGATTTTCAAACCAAATGATCTGATTGTTTCGGAGTCTGAAGGCCCCTTGAGATCGTATGATCTTTTTTTGAATTTTGTTAGTATGACTTGAGAGTTTTTGTTTTGATTTGATTTTTTGGCTATCTGTACCCTGTTCACCTCCTCTCATATTTATAGAGAATCTGAATGAGGGTTTAATCTTTAATATCTGGATGGTAGATCTTTTGAAAGGATTTTCCTTTTCCAAAAAAAAAGGGAAAGGGGGGGGGGGGGGGGGGTTTATTATTCTAACAAAAACAACAGACCAATCAATAGTCAGTCTCTATGATGGTCCATTTGCTTTTTCCAACAAACAGCTTCCCTGTCTCTTGTTTGTCTCTTGTAAACGCAACCTGTTTTGATGTAGAGCCCTCATAAGCATAGAAAGAAAACCTGGCCCTCTTTTTCTGGCATTAAATGTTTATGGGGAGTGTTTTTCTGATTCAAACTTTCTACCATCCCCCATCACTTCCTCTGCCTAGTTGAAAACTTTGACTTTAGAGTCATGTGGGCTTTTTGAGAGAAAAGATCTTCCTAAAAAAAATATGCTGACTTGAACTTTGGAATTGAGATCAACGGTGATGATCAAATTTTGAGCTTTTGAGAGATTAAAAGTTGGGTATATTCTTAAAATCAATTTAGAAACTGATTTGTCCAGATTAAAACACCATTTAATGGCAATTAATCTTTAATATGTGAATTTAATCCTTGCAAATTGGTTTACAAATGTCTCGGGCCTCTAAAACCATTTGGGCTGATCTCTGACTTTAACAAAGCCCAAACTCAGGTTTTTGACATGGGCCAATAATCAATTGGGCTAGCGCGTGGAATTTAGGCCCAAACAATGCCCCCTAAGTCTGAATCGTTTTTGAAATGTTTCAGACCTAATGATTGGCTAATTAATGATGCGCGCTATTTTCTTTCGTTGCTCTAGCCCACGTCTGCCTATTCACTCAGACTTCGTGGGGAAGTGGGTAATTAACGGCTAGTTAAAACTAACATGGGCTAATAATCAATTGGGCTGGCGCATGGAATTTAGGCCCAAACAATGCCCCCTAAGTCTGAATCGTTTTTGAAATGTTTCCGACTTAATGATTGGCTAATTAATGATGCGCTCCGTTTTCTTCCGTTGCTGTAGCCCACGTCTGCCTATTCACTCAAACTTCGTGGGGAAGTGGGTAATTAACGGCTAGTTAAAACTGGGCAACCCTTCTCCTTCCACGATCTTCTTCCTGAGCCTATAAGAACTTACAAAAGAACTCCAATACCATTCATTTCGAAAACCTAACTCCCTTAAGCTATCTAAATATTCCCAGAAACCTCTGTCTTTTAGATCATCCTTCAATTCTTCTCTGATTTAGCTTGAAATTGAGAATGTCTTCTCAAAAACTCTCACCAAAAGGTCTTCCTCCTCCCTACATTTTTGGAGCAGGTGTTGATCAACACGTGATCGAGATTCGTAGCAAGCTTCATCCATATACCCAGAAGAACCTTGATGTAAATGTTCTTCGCATGTTTGGGAACACCCTCGTTCTGGGTCCCTACTAGTTTGGCAATATCCCTGAAGAAATGGCCAAACTGTTCGTGGAAGACGTTGATGCTCCTCTGTGCTATCAAAGTTCTTCTCAGGCTTCTCATACCTGCGTCAGCAAGAACTTGAGCCGTTCATATCCCTCAAGTGAAGTGAGGAACAGTACCGTGAAGTGGTCAGACTGGATTCACAGACTTCTTCTGAAGTATGGAGAGCACTGGAAAAGGGCTGGGATCTATGATCCGATCCTTCTGTCCAAGTAGTTTGTGAACATGATGCCATCCTTAATTGCCTCCCTTACAGTGCGTTTGAATGAGGGAATAAACTTGGGATTTTGACAAAAGTCAGAATTTCTAAATTGACATGAACCAATTCCCATGGAATTTAGAGGTTATAAATCTCAACTTTAAATTCTATCTAACCCTCCATTTGGATGAAAGAATTGAAAATTACATAGAATTCTAAAATGACGGAATTTATATTTCCATCATTTCAATTTATGGCAATTGAAGATTTCAGTGTTTGGATTTATGTGTCGAATTTTGTAAATGACCTATGAAAATTGTGAAGTGACACATATTTTGGTGGAAATAAACTCGGGAATTTGATGCCCCACTTTCCACGATATTTTCCACGCCTCATTCAATAATGGGAGATTCACTAATATACCCAATATGGGGGCCCAAATTATAAAAATACCTCATATGAAATGAACTTTATAAACACACCCAAAACTCATTTACAACATAACAAAGAGGCTTTAACTTCTCATAAATTACAAAACTATCATAAATTTCTTAAAACAAGCCCAACTCCAAAATCTCATAAAAATACCCAAAACACTCAATAGGGCATTAAAGTAATTTAATAATCAATATTAAATTTAATAAGGCCAGCTGTCATTTTTGGGGTTTTTTTTTGGTTTGTTTATAGAAATTCAATTATAGAGGGTTTATTTATAATATTAGTGCTAAGAATGGGTATATCACTAAATATCTCTTCAATAATTCCATGCTTAATTAAGTTGCCAAATAAGGGACTTGTCAATTTCTCCTCTTAAAGTACTGACTTTTAGTTAAATTCTGAGTTATTTTCCCTCATCCATAAAAGGGTAAAAGTCTTCATTTCTAAAATTTCAAGAGATATTGAGTTTTTTTAAAAGGATAACTTTACAAATAAAGGTTAAATTCCGCATTTTAAATCTGTCACCCAAACAAGAAACTTTACAAAATCTAGAATATTAATTTCCGCCATTTATGAATTTCTTTGTACTTTTAAATTTCCTCATCCAAACTCACTGTTACTGAGCGGAATAATCCTAGATAATGGTGATAAACTTGAAATTGTGATAGAAAGGTGGTAGATTGCATTCATAATTCATCCCTAAACACTACTACAAAAAGTGACAAAGACGACCAGAAAAAAACGACGGTCTAAGTGAAAACCGTCGTTGTTTTTTAAAAGACGACGGTTCTATAAAACCGTCGTGTAATAACACCTTAGACACCTAAAATATGGAGATTCAAATGGTTGTTCATAAACAACGACGTACCTAATTAAAAAACCGACATCTATTTGAAACAGGATTTCCGCAGTGTAAAATCAAAGCAAATAAAGAACGGCAGAAGTTATGAATCGACCGACGTAGAAAGTAAAGACGACGATTTCAAAAAAAGCCACCGTTTTTACGCAGAAAATAACACGACTAAGTTTTCGTATAAGGCGCCATATAATTACAAATAAATCCACGGCGGTAAAATACAAAATATCGCCGTATTAAATTAATGTACAACGACGGAAAATAAAAATATATCGACGTCTTTCTTGTATAGTTCTACGACGGTATCTTTAAATCTCACCACGTTTGTTTTTCATTTAACGACGTATTATAAAATTTAACGTCGTATTTATTCCCTTTATACGTCATACCTTATATTTAAACCGTCGTCTTAATACGAATTTTTTTTATCAATTTATTTCTTTGATTTTGTTATCATACGTCATACTATATGTAAAAATGACGTTTTTTATAAAAATAAAAAAAAACGTCGTCTATTATATGTAAGATGACAATTTTTATAAAAACCGTCTATTATGTGTAAAGATGATGATTTTTATAAAAACCGTCGTCTATTATATGTAAAGATGACGATTTTATAAAACCGTCGTCTATTATATGTAAAGACGACGATTTTATAAAACCGTCGTCTATTATATGTAAAGACGACGATTTTTATTACAAACCGTCGTCTATTATATGTAAAGATGACGATTTTTTTAAAAACCGTCGTCTATTATGTGTAAAGATGACGATTTTTTTAAAACCGTCGTCTATTATATGTAAAGATGACGATTTTATAAAACCGTCGTCTATTATATGTAAAGATGAAGCTTTTTATAAAAAACCGAAAAAACCGTCGTCTATTGTATGTAAAGATGACGCTTTTTATAAAAACCGAAAAAACCGTCGTCTATTATATGTAAAGATGACGCTTTTTATAAAAAAAAACCGTCGTCTATTATATGTAAAGATGACGCTTTTTATAAAAACCGTCGTCTATTATATATAAAGATGACAATTTTTTATTTAAAAAAGGGTCGTCTATTATATATAAAGATGACGTTTTTTTTATAAAAAATGGTCGTCTATTATATGTAAAGATGATGGTTTGTTATAATAACCGTTAAATCATGATTTTTCATTTATAACCGTCGAAATTTTTTGTCCCGTTACTTTATCTTTGAATGTTTATTTTTTTCGATTTTTGGTGTAGATGATCTCGAAGTATAAACAAACAAGTTTGACGGTTGGATCGTTGAAACTAGTTTCTTAGAATGCGTATGCCATCAAAACAATATATTCACTAACAATTAAGAGTTTATTTATACTTTCGTTAAATATAACATAAGATTTTGTGTTATCCACTAGTGTAAATATTTTAAATTGAAGATCAAATTCAGTCATTGTATTCATATAGGGTCAAGGAGTGTAGCGGTAAAAAATCATCAAAATCGGAGTTAAAATAACCGTTAAATCATGATTTTTCATTTATAACCGTCGAAATTTTTTGTCCCGTTACTTTATCTCGGAATGTTTATTTTTTCCGATTTTTGGCGTATATGATCTCGAAGTATAAACAAACACGTTTGACGGTTGGATCATTGAAACTAGTTTCTTAGAATGCGTATGCCATCAAAACAATATATTCACTAACAATGAAGAGTTTATTTATACTTTCATTAAATATGACATAAGATTTTGTGGTATCCACTAGTGTAAATATTTTAAATTGAAGATCAAATTCAATCATTGTATTCATATTGGGTCAAGGAGTGTAGCGGTAAAAAATCATCAAAATCGGAGTTAAAATAACCGTTAAATCATGATTTTTCATTTATAACCGTTGAAATTTTTTGTCTCGTTACTTGATCTCTGAATGTTTATTTTTTCCGATTTTTGGCGTATATGATCTCGAAGCATAAACAAACATGTTTGACGGTTGGATCATTGAAACTAGTTTCTTAGAATGCGTATGCCATCAAAACAATATATTCACTAACAATTAAGAGTTTATTTATACTTTCGTTAAATATGACATAAGATTTTGTGGTATCCACTAGTGTAAATATTTTAAATTGAAGATCAAATTCAATCATTGTATTCATATTGGGTCAAGGAGTGTAGTGGTAAAAAATCATCAAAATCGGAGTTAAAATAACCGTTAAATCATGATTTTTCATTTATAACCGTCGAAATTTTTTGTCCCGTAACTTTATCTCTGAATGTTTATTTTTTTTTATTTTTGGTGTAGATGATCTCGAAGTATAAACAAACAAGTTTGACGGTTGGATCGTTGAAACTAGTTTCTTAAAATGCGTATGCCATAAAAAAAAAATATTCACTAACAATTAAGAGTTTATTTATACTTTCGTTAAATATAACATAAGATTTTGTGGTATCCACTAGTGTAAATATTTTAAATTGAAGATCAAATTCAGTCATTGTATTCATATAGGGTCAAGAAGTGTAGTGGAAAAAAAGTCTATTGTATGTAAAGATGACGTTTTTTATAAAAACCGTCGTCTATTGTACGTAAAGATGACGCTTTTTATAAAAACCGTCGTCTATTGTACGTAAAGATGACGCTTTTTATAAAAAACCGTCGTCTATTGTATGTAAAGATGACGCTTTTTATAAAAACCGTCGTCTATTATATGTAAAGATGACGCTTTTTATAAAAAAACCGTCGTATATTATATGTAAAGATGACAAATTTTTTTTTAAAAAAGCGTCGTCTTTTAAAACGCGCTAAAAAATGGCCGCTTAAGTGAATTCGCGCTCGATAAATTTTCAAATTTTCACCCGTCTTTGAAAATCTTATCTCTCATTAACAAGCGTCGTCTTTTAAAACACGCTAAAAAAAGTCTACTTAAGTGAATTCGCGCTTGTCAAATTTTCAGATTTTCCCCCGTCTCTGAAAACCTTATCTCTCCCTCCTTGAAACCCTCATGCACTCTCTAAAACACCCTCATAAAACTCTCTACAAAATCATCAAAAGATCGATATCAATGAAGGAGTTGAGAGATTGAGGTCTTAGCAAATCCATAAGATGTAGAGGGATGTTCTGTATTTGAGAATCAAAGCTGGTTGAAAGGTTGATTTGAAAGTCACCTAATCTCTTAATACCCTTCTATATCTTGCTAGTGAATTCTGGATTAGTCTCTTTGCGTTTTTGGTATGTTCTTTGTATCCCTAATTTCAGATTTTGTCTTTCCTGATTTGTCTGATTTGTTTACATATTTTTTTTTATTTCTGGTTTCTTTTTAGATTTTCTGATTTGGTTATCAGGAGATGAGGAGGAAGCTTGCAGATTTATAACTTTTTCTTTTGCAGGTTTTTTATGTGAGACGTATGTTTTTTTGTTGTTGAAAATTTGCAGGTTCTCGATGGTCTTTTTTATGCTCATTTTACAAGTTTTCTATGGAAATATGGACCAATGGTAAAATTTCTCTTCCACCTAATTTTTTATGTTTATAATCTTAGCTTCTTTTTTTTTCTCCCTTTGTCATTTTGATTTATTTACAGGGATGATGGAGGAGACTTCAGTTGTGCATCATTTGTATGTTTGGATGAGGAATGCTTGGATTAGGAGTACGTAGGTCTTGTTAGGAATTATGTTTGTTGTAGAATAAAGATTGGTTAACTATGTAATAACTATTGAATCTTCAAGTTTTATGAAAGAAACTATTTTTGATAAAGCAT